GCTTTAACAAAAAATGACAATACAAACGCTGTATCTATTATAATTGAAATAATACATTGGAACCGACTATTTTTTAATCTTTTAAAAACTGCGCGAAATGCTGACTTACATTACACTGTGAAAAAATAATACGGAACTTGAGTGTTTAAGATATAGCATTGACTTATCGTCTTCAGTAAGACTTTCACTTTCGTATTTTGGTTTCTTTCTCAAATATTTTGCGTACGATTCATGATTGATAGAGCATCGTGTTTTTTCTTGCGGAAATATATCCTCGCCAGCTTGCAGTGTATAAGTGGTGGTAGCGCCATTGTAAAGGCGGTGTACCACAACGACACTACTGTTACTTGACAAGTGTCACACAGGTGACATCAGACATCCTAACTGACCTCAAAGTATGAGGAACCTCACGAAGTGGCTACGATTTTCCCTTTTGATTGAAGTTGATCAATATCTCGGCACCTATTATAAGTATCCTATGTCTTGTTTCTCATATAGCGTCAATCTACCAACCGCCTATTTAATCTTACCAGTGACAAGTTTAATAGACTTGATTTATGTAATGTGTTAAACCATCTGGTTAGCGATGTTAATTAAATGATAAATGGCGTCAACTTAACAGTTCATCTACCTTTGAAAAACGCTCCACTGTTTACAAGGAAATATATTCAGGAAAAGTGCCAAAAAAGATTTTTAAATAACGGATAAAATGTATTCTTGAGAACACATTGCTATCAGAAACAAACAAACCGTATTAAACAGAGCACTGAATGTGTTCTACAATATCAGAATTCTAGGAAATTTACTTGTGTAAAGAAATGCAGGGGTCTGTCGGAATAACACTGGACTTTGCATTCGAATCCTACTCGGGCTGTTTGTGTTTCTGTTTGTGAAGCTGAGAATAAAATCATCCTATAGATACAAGTCAAGGAAAAAGAAGAATGTTTGCATACTTTTAGTTACAAAAAATATATTCAAATATATACGTTCAAAACAACAAATGTCGTACTTTGTCAGGTGCAGGTTGTTTCGTTTGGTGCCAGACGCAGTACTACAGATTGGTTTACCTGCCCTTTTGTTAGGAGGGGTTTGTGTGTTCAGTGTAGAGGAAACTTTCGCCCAGAGTTATCTTTGTACACAGACAAAAATTATTTGTCTTCGATAAGTGTTATATTGGCCCATAAAATTACAATAAAATATATTCCAGTTTTATCTTAAGACTTCAGTGGCAGTTTTGTTCCGCCTCATTGGCAGAAGGGCGAGTTGGACTTTGAACTGTGGCGAAAATATCCCTAGGTTTTGATAAGTGATGAATGTCAAACACAAACCACTCGATATTTCCAAACATACATCATCAGACATGTTCCAGGCAGTTATACCAATCTGTAGTAATTCCATATTATAATTAGAACGCTGTTAATTACATAGTATTAATTAGTAAACAAGTATATAACGCCAAGTAATAACTTTTCTAGTTTATTGTTACAGCTTAGCCCTGTCTAAATTAATTTCAGTTTTAGTACCTGACATATAATGTTGTTACAGAACGACACTCTTTCAGAATATTTGATTCAGTTCTTAATAATAAACAAAGATACGCTTAAATTCTAATTTTGGTTGCAAAAAATCAAAATACGGCTTCATATGAGCAAAATATTTTCCATGTGAAATTAAATGATGGTATCCTGGTCTGAAATGTATCGTTCGAAGCATAGGACTGCTAGAAGAGAATGAATATCTGTTTATTTTTCGCGCATACTGTAGATTAATGTATTAACAATAAGTAGTAACAAGGCGGGGTTTCTATGAAAGATAGATGGCAATAAACAGTAATTTTACTAGGTTGAGGTCACCATTGACTTTGATAAGGATGTAGCAGAGAGGTGAAATGAAATGCAATTCATATTTAGTGATGTGTATTCAGTCTGAGTTAAGTCAGTACACCCACCAAATTTATGAATCATTTGAAATAAATCTACATAATATGCGAAAGTTTTATTTAATTAAATATGTCCGCCTTTTTGTCGTTCTTACTTGAACATATACCGGCTTTGTTCGATTAGTGACGTATCATATGACTTGTCGAGACCCCTCCTATTTCTACTGATGAGTTAATGGGACAGAATAACTATTCTTGATCGGTATTTTTAAATCCAGACAGTTAAGAACTATCAGTAAATATCTACACCAATTTACAACGAAGATTCGGCCACTTATATACACTTATCCCGCTGACAGACCAATAATTATCTCCCTTCCATTGGATGCTCTGTAGTGCTAAGTCGGTATTTGAGTCAACGAATAGAAACATTTCCTGATACAGCTACATGAAATCCTGTACCTACCATCTTTGCCGTGCGATATATACTATACTTGTAATTGTATGATAATGTAACACAACGGAGGGTTTCTGTCATTTTTTAATCTCTTCTATTGATTAGAGAGTGTAGTATAGTGAAACTAGAAATTTAAGGACTAGTCCAGATATTCGCACGCCAGTGTATTTTTAATGAAAACTGTCTTCGGTGAAGGAAATTTTAATTGATGTTTCTTAACATGCACTGGAAATTATTACCTTAAGATTACAAAATATATATGTGAGTGACGTCATCATCAAATAAATTAAATACTTAATTCAGTATGCAAGTGTCTTGAGTTGTATGTTTTGATGCGTTGACGTAACACTAGACAGAATAATTATTGTCTTACAGAAATGTTCTCGTATATTAGAGACGTCTCTGTTATATTCAGGTTCACAATTGATGAGGCAACATCTGCCTGCCATTACCAACTGGTCCTTTTTCCGCCGAAATCTTTTTAAAGATTGATCAACAGTGTCGTTTGATGTAATCCTGCCAGTTGATTCATTGGTAATTCTTTGACACAAATTAACATGAATTTCCTCTTGTCATCGATCCATCCTTAATTATTTAAAAGTGTCATTCATTATTCAAGTTTACTTGTCATTAATGTCAGATTAAAACTACATTGCGATATCATTGTAACCATAAGGTGACATTACAAGAATTTTGAAGTACTAACTTTACTTGAAGTGAGGGAGCAACCCTGTATGATATAGATTTTAGACAAGGTTCCAACTCACAATGTGTCACTAGATATATTACATATCATATGTGATCTTGTTTAATTTATGTATTATTATCAGTAACAGACATTTGAGATTATAAGCAAATCCATTAAATGTCTGTGCTAAAAGATATCTATTTATCTCTCAATGCAAAAGAATCTGAGGTTGTCCAACAATAGATATATAAAGGTTAACAAAGTTACAGAAAAACTGCAGGAGAGTTGTATGTAGTCCTACATGTACATCAACATAAAAGTTTTAAAGTGTTATACCAGAGAAAATATCTTCCTTTTAATTTAACTAAATGCTAGGAGTCATTCCTTTTTTCCCCAACACCATTCTTTGTTTTTGCATTATTTGGGCGTAGCTCAATCGCAAGTATATATTAAGGTAAACGCAACCTCGGTTTGAGGTAAACGCGACCTCAGTTTCACATAAAAGCGACCTCAGTTACAGGTAAACGCAACTTCAGTTTGAGGAAAGCGCGACCTCAGATTTAGGTAAACGCGACCTCAGTGTCAGTTAAACGCGACCTCAGATTCAAGTAAACTCGACCTCAGTGTCAGGTAAACGCGACCTCAGTTTCAGATAAACGCGACCTCAGTTACAGGTAAACGCAACTTTAGTTTGAGGAAAACGCGACCTCAGTTTTAGTTTAACGCGACCTCAGTAACAGGTAAACGCGATCTCAGTTTCAGGTAAATGCGACCTCAGCTTCAACTGGACTAAATCATGAAATCAATGCATCGTCATATCAATATGAATTCTTTTTCGTGACGTACAGATGTAACAATCGAAATGAATAACTCACAGAGATAGATCAATAGGAGTGACTTTTTATGTTTAAAGGTTTTGTTTCATCGTCCGAAATATATTTGGTATATTTTTCAAAAATAAATGGAAAATATAACATGCTTTTATGCAGAACATTTGTAAATTCATAAAGTTGGCTATGACGTTGATGTTTTCATCTTTAAGGGATTAAAAATTGTTTTTATATTTTATCAATATGTTATTTGTTTTACAAATTCTATACTGTATCTGATTTTAATTTTGTATCGAAAGGTGTTTCAATCACTTGTGATGTTAAGTAGTAACGAGAAAATTCTTACATCTCTACTCTGAAAATCTATTATTGTCAAAGCAAGTACATGAATAGTAATGACATTTAATTGACATTTCACATAATGATAAGAATACCAGTGTATGAATGGCTTTGTACATACTACATCGTAATATTGGTAAATTATTTGAAGTCTTCTTGTTATTATTAACCCAATTATTTATCTCAGAATATAAGGAATAACATAGAGAAGAATTTTAGCACCACCATGTCTGAAAATTTCAAAGTCCTAATTAAAGTCATTTCTGTTCATTATGACAAGTTGTTGAATATGACAATTTAGTAACGCATGAATGTATATAAATACGCCAATAGATTAAGTACTGAAGGCCAAGGTTATGGAGGTGAGACATATATGCGATGGTACCAGCTTTGAAATATATCGTAAATATTTCTAGGAAGAAATAAATGACGAAAATCCATATCAATATTCATGAAGAGACAAGTTAAAACAGTATTAATTTGAATATGTATTTTTTCGATCATAAGTTGCCATAACGAGCTAAATGACATCTACCTGATCTTTAAAAATGCGATTAGTATTCATCACCCAAGTTTCCTATTTCAGTGAAATATATCATTACATTCTCTCTAGAACAAGACATTACAGCAGTGAATGGCATGGGATGGCGACGTCTGCAGTCGCTATTCAGATCGTCTATTGGTTGGATGATTCCAGGAGCCCCGCCCTTAGAAGACCGAATGTCTTGAGGAGTATATAACAGTGAGTGATAATGAGAGCTGAAAACACATTACCGTGCCCGATCACTTGTGATAATAACACCAAACATGGGCACTAGTAACAAGTATGTGGATCCAGAGATCGCCAACAGTAAGGTAGGTACATTCTATTGGACTAACCTTATTTGGATTAATGTTTTGTTCGAAAGGTGGATAATACAAGAAATATCCTGTCGTTAACGTAAGTCTACAGACTAACTTATATTTACATATATATATGTATGTATATATACATGTATATATCGTAGAAATACCAACAAAAATAAATCCTTGTAAACTCTACATAATTAGGAAATTGGTTCATTTAACAGGAAATGAATTGTAAAACAGCATGGATTACATATCTTGTATCTTTGAAGTATAAAATCAACAGTAAAAGAACGAAGATGATAAATGTTTTATGACAAATCGAGATTTTTTAAATGCGTTCAACATTGTCATCAAAGATGTGTTAAATGTATATTTTTGGAATTTGATAGATATCTGCATTTCAAAGATTTTGCTGAGTGAACATTTTGATAATCGTGATCAAAGTTCAAGAGACCTAATTCAGTAGGCGTAATTTCTCAACGAAAAAAAACATGAAAGCCTGTTCCTACTGACAAGATCGTGACTAATCGCGTGTTTTTTCATTCTTTTTAAAATAGATATATTACAATTTTGTTTTTATCAAAATGTGCTGACATATTCCCACTCAACCCTGTCTTCATTTTTTGTCAATTATCCTTTTCTGGATTTAAAACAAAACCTCTGTAATTCATGTTGTATTGGCGTGCTCCACTTGTCCGCCTGGTGACAAATGGTCGCCACCATGGTGTCCGGTGTGTGTACAGACATCATCTAACACTTACCTGGGCAGAATGTTGCCATTTTTTTGTAGGTTGACTTAGCTGTAATAATAATTATGTATGGCAGTACTCCTACTCATACGTGTCTATATAGTAACAGTGGATGACAGCTATTTATAGTTATGTGATATTATAATATAAAACATAGAAAACGTTTTATTTCCTTTCTTTCTATCTATATTTACGAAATGTATCAAATATGTCAAATGCCATTATTGATTCAAAATACACATTTAAATAACATGTTTACTTCACAGTATTAATAATGGTAATAGTTATATGTTTATTGTTCTTAGCCCATACATAATTCTATAAATACTCTTAACTCTTAATTCAGGTTTCCTAGAAGACAAGAGATAATCAATTCTTTCAAACAATGATCCATCTTTCTTTAACTCCAGCTAGCAAAACGGAAGGAAAAAATAAGACATATATGATGGAGATATGTTTCAAATTGTTTAAAAATTAATGCATCGTTATCCTTTCCATTACGATTATCATCTGTCGAGAATATCAATATTCAGGTGGTTACTTACTTTAACATTGTTTTATTTTATATGCAGGGAATATTGATAAAAAAACTTTACTTTTTAGTAAGACTTGCGTGGGTTACCAGTGGAAATTACTCATGTCGTGACATCATATATTATATTATATGAAGTCACTGTATGAGTAATTTTATGAATTACATATTATCAACCTTTTCTTTCATATATTTATACAACATCACATAATAGAAGAGCGGTAAAAATAAACTTTGAACTTCAGGATTAATAAATGTCAGACTCTAATTATATCCCTTGCTGTGAATGTCGTATATCTAGCGAGCGAGAAACGCCTTAGTTCTATTTCAACAGTGTTGGTTATAAGATTACTCGAATAGAATACATTTTACATGTCATGTATCATTTCTTCGCTCGTTAATTAAATAATTTTTTCCTTTTTGTTTTTTTTTTAATTTACTTTATGCCGATGTTGCGTCATCTTTCTCTTTAACTTGTACTTAATTCATGTATTCATTTATTATATTTGTGATCAGAACAAATCTGTCCTTGTATTATAAAGTAGATGATTTATCGAGAACATATTTATCTGACAACCACGTGCATTTTTTATCGTTCTGTTATATTAACTACAAAGGGAACTAAATTACAGGAAATGCATGTTGTTATCATATATAGTAATAAATATCATTGACAGGATTGACAATAGTGTGAATATTATGTAATTTTTATTTTATATACATTATATAAGTATACAATAGTCATGAAGGACGCATGCGTGCGTGTATTTTCTACAGCTATGATAGGCCACACTTCATCGCGTTGTCCATACACAATTTTCCACCAAAGCCACTGTTTGGAGTTACAAATGCAACCAAATCTAATGTCCAAAAAATTTCTTACAATTCGATACTAACATCCCGTAGAAGAAAACTATATTATACTAAAAGACCTTACCAAAACATAAAAGGAAAAATCAATCTTCCATACTATATAAGAATGCACAGCAGTAGAATCCGGCGATACATACTGTAACCAATGTGATCTGACCACAGAAATATCTAATGGAAATAATTTAACCATCATTGCCATGATACTAATGATTTTCTGCTCGTTACGTCAACATTTTGATGCTATCATCATATATCATTAAAAATGTCAAGGTTTACATACCTTTTGATTGCCTGGTAGCTTCAAAATAAATGACGAGTATCATGCACGAGTATTAGATACTAAACGTTTGATATCTACATAGTCTTATTTATGTATATACCTGAATACCTTTGTTGTTGAGAATACGAAGCAGTCTTAAGTCATATGTAAGCTTGTAGGTGATGGCGAATTGCACAACTAAAACTTTCAACTATTGTCTCTTTCTTTAAAGAAATATAAGGCGCGCCTTTATTGTAAGCATTTAATATGAATCTGAACTTTTTAAAATAAAGAATTGAATTTAAAGTTGTTTCATTAATACACCACAAACATCTTGTTTTTATTTAAAGCGTTTTAAATCTTCAAGTTCTGCTATCGTGATGAATAATCATTTTGCACATGTTTGTGTTAATCAGTGTTATTTTTCTGAGCAAAAATCATTTATAGAATTTCATCATACTATATATGTCATTAAGTAAAAAGTAAATCGCGTTTTAACTAGTAACACTTTTGTCCTCATGTCAACACAAAGAAAACTTGCACTCTTGATGATATAAAATACAAATGAAGCTTCATTATCATGAAGTTAAATGTAGATGCATATATTACTTACCATTCCGTGTCTAACAGCAGAGAGTGTGAAGGAGTTGGTGTTACTTTAACTAACCATGCGATAATGTCTGTGTTGACAGGATGCGATTCTCAAGGCGACGTCCAGTGCCAAACGCATGGTCGGGTACTCGGTATTGGTTGGCAGTATGGGAGTGCTGGCGGTTAGTGGAATCCTCCTCGGACTCCATTTCAGTGGAAACCTAGACAAATTGGATGATGACGCAGAAGAAATGGTAAATGGCATTCCAGACTATATTTCAAAACGTATCGTACATTTAGAATATTAGTATGTCAGTGATAAAATTGTAAGTATTCTAAAAGAGAGCTGCAGCTCCCCATGCACATTTAATACAGTGCCTGATATCCAGGAACAGTCTAAATAAACATTTAGATACAAATTTTAAACAAGTAGTGCCAAATAACCAATTAAACTGTATCGTGTAGCTAATTTAATTATTTAATTAAAATTTTGGGTCCAATTATCTATTTCCTCATAGAAGCCTTCTGCTATGGAAATATCTCAACACAAACTCCAATCTTGAAACATTTTACTGTGACAGAAATCGTTGTTAAGTGGCCTTTCCAACAGCTTATGTCAAATATTGTCATAAAAGTCATAAAGGAGATTTCCTGACTTTTAATATAAATTTATTGTAATTATGAAGCGGTTGCAAAGCGAATTTGAATGTCAGGGAAAAAAATCGGATTTCAGCATACACGGTATTTGGATATATTATATATCTACAAATACTCGATGGAAACATATATTGAACTTTATCTAGAATTCGAACAATATTTGGGTTTTCCGTGTCAATCCACTTTTCAACTACAATGTTTTTAGTCTGTATTCCACCAGTTTGGGTGGATGACCGGCAGCTAATCAGCTGTATGGACTTTTTTAGTCTGTATCCCACCAGTTTGGGTGGATGACCGGCAGCTAATCAGCTGTATAAACTTTTTTAGTCTGTATCCCACCAGTTTGTGTGGATGATCAGCTGTTTATCAGCTGAATTGAGTTTTTAGTCTGTATCCCACCAGTTTGAGTGGGTGACCAGCTGCTTATCAGCTGTATGGACTTTTTAGGCTGTATTCCACCAGTTTGAGTAGGTGACCAGCTGCTAATCAGCTGTATAAACTTTTCTAGTCTGTATTCCACCAGTTTGGGTTGATGATGAACTGCTAGTCAGCTGTATAGACTTTTCTAGTCTGTATCCCACCAGTGGAAAGTGCAGGATTTATATTTTCTGAAAATAATACCATATGAATAACAATAATGAATGAAAATCTTATAATTCACTCACATATAATGTTATCCTAACTTTAATATCTCACTGTCATTTATGATGTATAATTACTGTTATTATCTAGGGAGAACTGTCATTTGCTATGCCTCTTGTTTAATCATTTCTCTTCATTTTGTGATAAAATAAAGTATGACAAAATGAAATATGAATGTAATCGCACGTAATAGTCTGTGGTGTGTATGTTTATGACATAATACTGTATACAAATAACTAGAGGACATCATGCTGAATGACCAAGTGTGGCAGGATCTATAATTTTAATATTTGTATTGAATTGTACAAGTCAAATGATTGTAGTAATGTAATCCTCTACAGAACGTGCTCTAATCACTTTCATACAAATTATCACGATTTTCATAATAATTCTCTTTTCTCTACCAGTAAGCCACTACCAACAGGTTTCATTACTGACCTTTTTGTGTAAAGTAGATTAACTATCTTCTGAGTAGGCGTTCACGATGTCCTGGTCTATCGGTGTCCTCTATTCTTTCTTTTGTGTTGACATTGATTAATATCATAGCTTTTCAGAAGACCATGTCATTCAGTATGTTAATAATGATATACATATATAGGTAAGGAGAGTTAAAACGCCTCACCTAACTCTGAATATGTTAATCTGTCTATATGTACAACATATATAATGCATATTATAATACTGTTATGGATGTTACGGCGGACGAGCCACTTAAAGTTAGAGCTAGGTATATACTCTGATCAATTAGTAATTTGTATTCATTATAAATAATTTGTTAACAAACTAATTAATGTAAATTCAGTTAGTGTCTCCTGAAGCAGTTAGGTTAAATGTTAGATGATGTATACGTGAATTGTCTCGCTGAACCTTGTCTTTTGTACAGAAGTTTGTTAAAAGGCCAGACAAATTAAACAGGATAGCTGTAATGTGTTTTCATAAATCGTTAAACTAGTGTTAGAATTTGACTATTAATTAGTCTATGACAGAACTTTATCGTCAGTAACTTGAACGATAGATCGCCAGGTCAATCTGACATTTTTTTCATTTCATAAAAATTCAATATATTTGACAGGGGGTAACCATGAATGTCAATGGTAGCCTTAATTGATTTATATAGTGCTGCTTATGGCACGTACGTGACGGGGGTTACTTGTATGCATTAATTAATAAATGACCTCATAATTAACCCCTACTGACAGACACGGTGGGATTGGTGAGACTGATGTTAAGGCCCTGTGTTACATACTATAAGCTAAGCTTGTATGATCGGAACTTACATTAGAAACACGAATCTGCAATTAACATTGAGAATAGAAGCAGTCGTGCGTGACACTGACCGACTAACATTTCGACAAGATGATACAACATATTAACATACAAAGCAGAAAAGAAAGACATATAAAAAAAGTACATCAATTATATTTTTGTCTTGTAGATCAGTTTCCATAAAAACGTAATCATTGAAAGGTTTCAATTAATTAGAAAGTATACACATGTCTGTTAATTTATTAAGAATAAATCTTTCAAATAAACAGTAATAAAAAGTCATTTAAACTGAAAACTCATCAATCAAAATTGTTGATTAAATATTTATGAAAGCTGGTTTATCATTAACTCTATGAGAACTGATTTCTGAAACTTTTCACGCACGTAACAATAATGATGATACATCTTTCTTTTCAACTACTGTAAATGGTCAATCTCAGAGTAATGAACCCATCTTATATATCTTCAACAAGATCAATCATATTTGCATCCAGAAAATGAGTTAAAAAAAAAATAAAAATGAAGATGAAAATTTCACTGGTAGTTAATACAACAGTTCGCTGTTTCTAGTGTTTTACTGAATGAGTCATTTTCTTAACCCAGTGCAGAGCAATAATTTCACTCACAATTATCATAATGGTCATTTCCAATTCAATAATCTGTGTGTATGCAATGGATAGGTGATTAAGTGGAAATAAGAGGAAAGATTGCACAAAAGAAATTCAAGTCAATCGCACCTGTCGGTAAAAATTTAGAATGCGATACACTAGATACGGAATTAAACTACATTGTACAGTTATGTTGTTCTTCAGTGATACTAAGGGCCAAACTAACGGGCTAAACTAACGACATAATGATCTGTAAAACTTTTAAAAGATATTTAATTAATTCTAGGAAACATTCTTAGATTTATAATATACAGTATATAATGGTAATGTATATAACGTGTTAATCAGCATTCTAAAGTCAGAATCTTCTGCTAACTTTAAGTTACTCTCTCTCTCTCTCTCTCTCTCTCTCTCTCTCTCTCTCTCTCTCTCTCTCTCTCTCTCTCTCTCTCAAAATGGTATGTGAAATGCTTTTGCAGAAATTCCATTTTCGTAACCATCTGCTTTCAGATAAATTATCAGCTATGGGTTTTTTTAAAATGAACCTGGTCGCAATGGTCACTTACGGTTATTGTCGGGGGCAAGCGACATACATGGTCAGACATATCGATGATTGACCGTCGATGTCCACTTTGTGCGAACACATACGGTGCTATTATTAGCACTGATACACAGATAGGTAACGATGGTTGCTCCTGTGTTGTTGGACACTAACGACTTACTAGTACTTTTTAACAGTAACACGTAAATCATATAAACATAACACATTGTGGTTTACCTATAACATACACTGTCTTGTCACGTTAATATTGAAATTGAATTCAGAATATTCGGCGTTTTATGATGTTGAACATATACTTAAACTATGCGTACGTATGCATTGTTTCGTATTCGTCAATGGCGTTTTATCTACCACTGCAATCCAATTTTGAAATTATGAGTTCTATTCTAATTATCGTCGTTTTAATTGTTTTCCTGTGTTGATAGACAGCACGTCAAATAAGTAATGCTACCATGACTTCGGATGTTATTAAACCTACAACTAGACATTAGTTAAAAGGTTGACTACAAGAATATAAGTGATTAATCAAGCTATGCTATGATTATAGAGAAAGGGTATGAACATTACCAATATATAGGTTACTGTGTAAAGTGTATGTAAACACAGCTACATAAATAGACCAATGTTAGATTTTAAACCTGTCCACTAGGTTACTAGTGTTTTAAATCGGCAGATCTTTATACGTAGTCTAGAAATATCGTACATCCTGATCCGAATGATAGCGAACTTTAAAAACAAAATGTTGACCCGAACACTCCGTGATTTTTTTCAGTTTCTTTCGCAACACCAAAAGAAATGTCTGGGATTTTTACTAATTAATCAGTACATCTGAAGTGGTTAAAGTATTACACAAAATTCACACAAGCAGAATTATATACTGTAAAGTCACTAAACAGCATCGTACGACTGTTTCTTCGTCTGTCCTCAGAGAAAAATGATTATCTGTTGAAAGAAATGTCCAACTGTATACTATAGGAGGTGCAGATAGCCTAAGGCTAGGTATCAGTTGGTACAGTTCTGTGTAGTGTAAAAACAATTTGTGTGCTTGTTTTGATATATATTTTCTTAATATACACATGAACTCGATGTTGCTCTAAAACGGGCTGTATGGGGTTAGTGCACTTGCCCATCTGGGTTTTAATTTTTCTTTTGATTGCTCTGATTTTTCCTCTGTCACCTCCAAGCCTTAACATTTAGGTACTTGACATCACTGTCGCGTCCTAGAAGGATGAAACAGCTGTATGATGTAGTTTATTTCATTGTTTGACTTTACTATATCGAACTCTGATTTTGTATTTAAAAGGTGCTATTTACCTGTGTTCCTTTATACAATCTTCTGAATGAATGAAATGAAGTGAATGAATGAGTACTATTGCATATTGCCGTATTGAACTTACAAACACGTCTTTATCCAATAGGTAGTGATAAACTCCGGAGCCCAGGTGGGTGCCGACATCAAAGCCCCTATCACCGGTGATGATATTTCGATAACGGTGAGTTTATGGTCATTTCTGAAATACCGTTTGAGGAAACGTCAATACAAAAGTGTCTGTGACCTTCATATCAATATTGATAGTGGTATCAATGTTTCAGCATTGTTACAACAAATACTAATCCTATAACAGTCTGATTGTAAAATGGTTGCCTCTTACCGTTCTCGTTTTATAATAAGCATTTAAAAATGACAATGATCCAAGTATGTCAATAGCATAATGAAGAAACTTAATCTTAAAAGTAATTATACGGAAAATTTCCATGGAAATACCTATATCATGAGGTTAAACAGGCTAGACATTACCCAAAGAGCATTGTCGCAACTCTATTTAATCAGATGAAGCATAATATCTCATACGTAGTTTTTATCATATATTGGACTATACCGTCATTATTATTCAAGTATCTTGTACCATTACATGAAGTAGAGCTCAATCAGTTGTACGTTACAAAGAATAATTCTTTCTCCTCGCCCTCATTGTAGGACGCGGATACATTACTTGAGGAGGATGACGTATTGGTTTCATCACTATCCCATGCCGGCTCCGAGCCTGAATTTTTCCCGGAATCGGAGGAGGAGGAGTACGAAGAGCATGAACGTGACAGTCACGTGACTAGCGGCAGCAGTGAAGACGAGAGCGAGGGCGACAGTCACGTTAATGATCACAGCAAGAGTAGTGAAGATGACGATGAATTCAACAGCAGTAATGAAGATACACACACTGGTGACAATGAAAGCAGCGAAGTTGATAGCAACGACTATGGTGAGGATAGCAGAGACAGTGAAAGCAACGAAAACAGTAACGATGATAATGATAAAAGTGATGAAGACAGTGATGCTGACAGCAAAGAAAGTGATGGCGATAGTGACGGTGATAGCAAAGAAAGTGATGACAGTGCCGGTGACAGCAAAGAAAGTGATGGCGATAGTGACGGTGATAGCAAAGAAAGTGATGACAGTGCCGGTGACAGTAAAGAAAGTGATCAGAGTGACGATGAGAGCAATGAAAGTGATGACAATAATAATGTCGACAGCAAAGACAGTGAGGGCGATAGCGACGATGATAGTAACGAAAATGATGACGACAGTGATGATGACAGCAAAGACAGTGATAGCGGTAACGACGATGAAAGCAATGAAAGTGATGACGATAGTGATGATGACAGCAAAGAAAGTGATGACGACAGTAATGATGACAGCAAAGAAAGTGATGACGACAGTGATGATGACAGCAAAGAAAGTGATAACGATAGTGATGATGACAGCAAAGAAAGTGTTAGCGACAGTGACAATGACAGCAAAGAAAGTGATGACGACAGTGATGATGACAGCAAAGAAAGTGATGACGAAAGTGATGATGACAGCAAAGAAAGTGATGACGACAGTGATGATGAGAGCAATGACAGCGATGACGAAAGTGATGATGACAGCAAAGAAAGTGATGACGATAGTGATGATGACAGCAAAGAAAGTGATAGCGGCAGTGACGATGACAGCAAAGAAAATGATAAGAGTGATGGTGAGAGCAATGACAGCGATGACGAGAGTGATGATGACAGTAAAGACAATGATAGCGGCAGTGATGATGACAGCAAAGAAAGTGATGACGATAGTGATGATGACAGCAAAGAAAGTGATAGCGACAGTGACGATGACAGCAAAGAAAATGATAAGAGCGATGATGAGAGCAATGACAGCGATGACGACAGTGATGATGACAGCAAAGACAATGATAGCGGCAGTGATGATGACAGCAAAGAAAGTGTTAGCGACAGTGACGATGACAGCAAAGAAAGTGATGACGATAGTGATGATGACAGCAAAGAAAGTGATAGCGGCAGTGACGATGACAGCAAAGAAAATGATAAGAGTGATGATGAGAGCAATGAAAATGATGACGATAGTGATGATGACAGCAAAGACAGTGAGGGCGATAGCGACGATGATAGTAACGAAAATGATGACGATAGTGATGATGACAGCAAAGACAGTGATAGCGGCAGTGACGATGAGAGCAATGAAAGTGATGACGATAGTGACGATGACAGCAAAGAAAGTGATAAGAGTGGCGATGAGAGCAATGACAGTGGTGACGACAGTGATGATGACAGCAAAGACAGTGAGGGCGATAGCGACGATGATAGCAACAAAAATGATGACGATAGTGATGATGACAGCAAAGAGAGTGAGGGCGATAGCGACGATGATAGTAACGAAAATGATGACGATAGTGATGATGACAGCAAAGACAGTGATAGCGGCAGTGACAATGAGAGCATTGAAAGTGATGACGATAGTGACGATGACAGCAAAGACAGTGATAAGAGTGGCGATGAGAGCAATGACAGCGGTGACGATAGTGATGATGACAGCAAAGACAGTGAGGGCGATAGCGACGATGATAGCAACGAAAATGAAGATGATAGTGATGATAACAGCAAAGACAGTGATAGCGACAGTGACGATGAGAGCAATGAAAGTGATGACGATAGTGACGATGACAGCAAAGAAAGTGATAAGAGTGGCGATGAGAGCAATGACAGCGGTGACGATAGTGATGATGACAGCAAAGACAGTGAGGGCGATAGCGACGAAGATAGTAACGAAAATGATGACGATAGTGATGATGACAGCGAAGACAGTGATAGCGACAGTGACGCTGACAGCAATGACAGCGATGACGACAGTAATGATGACCGCAAAGACAGTAATAGCGGCAGTGACGATGAGAGCAATGAAAGTGATGATGATAGTGACGATGACAGCAAAGAAAGTGATAAGAGTGGCGATGAAAGCAATGACAGCGACGACGATAATGACGATGAAAGCAATGAAAGTGATGACAATAGTGATGATGACAGCAAGGACAGTGATGGCGATAGTGACGATGATAGCAAAGAAAATGTCAACAGTGAAGACGACAGTAAAGAAAGTGATGACAATAGCGACGATGAGAGCAAGGACAGTGATGGCGATAGTGACGATGATAGCAAAGAGAATGTCAACAGTGAAGACGACAGTAAAGAAACTGATGACAATAGCGACGATGAGAGCAATAAAACTGATGACGATAGTGATGCTGATAGCGATGATGACAGCAAAGAAAATGATAGCAATAGTGACGATGATAGCAAAGAGAATGATGAAAACACTGATGATGACAGCAAAGACAGTGATAATGATAGCAATGAAACTGATGGTGATAGTGATGATGAAAGCAAAGAAAGTGATAAGAGTGACGATAAGAGCAATGATAGCGATAAAGACGATGACGATGAGAACAATATAAGCGATGACGATAGTGACGATGACACCAAAGAAAGTGATGACGACAGTAACGATGACAGTAAAGAAAATGACGATGACAGTGACAATAACAGCAAGGAAAATGATGGCGAAACGAAAGGAGATATCAATATCGAATCTCTACTGAACGATTTAGTAGGTGATGATTTGGACGACAATGACCAGAAATCGTCTGGCAGAGAGAATGACGACAACAACAACGATGATGATGATGATGATGATGATGATGATGATGATGATGATGATGATGATGATGATGACAAGCATGACAGTAAGGAAAGTAGCAATGACATTGATAGCAAAGAGAGTGATGATGACAACGATGATGAAAGCGATAACGACAGTGAAGATGACGACAGCAAGGACAGTGGTGAAAATAGTGGCGACAAAAGCGAGGATGAAAGTGATAACAAGGAGAGCAGTGAAAACAGTAAAGATGACGACAGCGACTTAGTGTCTGACGATTTGGATGATGATGATGATGATGATGATGATGATGATGATGATGATGATGATGATGATGATGATGAAAACAGCAATGAAACCAAAAGTGTGAAAGACAACGATGATTCATCTAACAATGACGATGATATAAGTAATCAAAATGACGATGATTCAAAAAATGACGAAAGTCAAGAGGACAATGAAAACAACGATGATGAATACGATGGCAAGAATGGAGACGGTTATGATGATGGGGACACAAAAGATAATGATGTTGATATTGATGATGTTTTTTCTGATATGCTGAGTGACGTATTTGTAGATGGGTCAAAGGTCAATGTATTGAATGACGAGAATGGATTTTCGGGAGTAAGTTTCAATGTCGGTATGATAGATGACACAGACACCACAGGACTTGGCAATAATCAGTTAGATAATAACGCTAACATCGGCGATGCCTCGTTATCCAGTCCCGTACTCGCAATGTCTACAAATGAGGACAGTGATTTATTAGGAGATGCATTTAACGATGGTCTCTCAGTAGCCGCCTCAGCAGTTAGTCCAGATTTTAATGTGATGGACCCAAGCTCCTCTGTAGGAATGATATCTGATCTGTTAAACGATGGGTTCGTTAACGATGATGATATCTGGAACAACAATAATGTTGACGATAATGGTGATGATATAAACGATGATGGCATTTATGATCAGAATATTGGCTCCAACAATGACAATAATGATGACGAGGACATGGATAATAATGATGATAATTATAACAACGAGGAAAATAATTATAGCAATGACGAAAATAACGATGATCAATATGAAAACGATGAAAATGATGATCATCATTACGATAACAACGATGACAATAACGAGAATCATTATGAAAACAATGAAAATGATGATAACTACGACAACAACGATGACAATAATGATGATCATTATGTTACCAATGATGAAAATGATAACTACGATAATAACGATGACAGTAATGATGATCATAACGTTAACAATGATGAAAATTATTATAACTACGGTAACAACGATGACAATAATGAGCATAACCATAACACTGATGAAAACGATGATGATAACGATAACAACGATGATAACTACGGTAATGGTTACGATACCAATGATGATAATAATTTCGTCAGTATCAACGATAATAACAATGAAGATGACGACGAGCCTTACAACAACTCCCCAATAGTACAAGCCGCAAGTTTAACAGAAAATGATGACGAGGAGTAGAAATAAGCGTCATCAATTTTCTTATAAGAATTCCATTCTTCACATCGTACACAAATCATCGAATTAAGAGAATGATTACCTCCATCATTTTCATTTCGTATTTCGATGCAATGATGCAATGACATAACATGTAATGTCTATTAGGATAAAAGTATATGATAATTCAGGTCAAATTGTGTATATTACATGATTAATGAGAAGTAAATTATTGTTCTGTTGTGCAGGCCACAATAGTTATGTTCTGTTATATTTATTTGATGTCACCTGGAAAAGAGCTGGTCTCTCTTTCATGTGTACCATTCGTCATTCTAACAAGAAGTCTAATTGTTTTGTATTAGTTTCGTCTGTTACGTATATTTAGTGTTTATTTTACTTTTACGGAATAAATAATGTTGTTTTACATAAACTGCTTTTATTTTTCACCAATATGTCAGTTACTGAACAATAAAATTATGTTAATAAGCCATTTTGTCCACATGCAATGCAATTTCTTAGGACTTCTTCAAATGTTAAACCAGAATAATATGCATAAGGAACCCTTGCATGTTGTAGGTTTAACAATACATTTAACAATGAAATAGTGTTAGGAGAGAGGAAGGTGGTGAATTTTGAGATTCAAATTACATCACATTTACGAGGAATTGTATTTCATTCATCGACATAATGACAACTACATCCACATTCACAACTACATTAACATTTAATATGAGAGACAACCACGACCAAAATGACAACATTATCAAAATTGAAGATGTGTTATTTACATTGACGTTTAATGAGTGACAACTACATTATGATGACAACTTTATCAAAACCGAAATTGTGTTACTTACATGAACGTTTAATATGAATTGGAACCACACCCACAATGACAACTATATCGAAAATGAGAAAGTGTTACCTACATTAACGTTTAATATGAGTGACAACCACACCCACAATGATAACTATATCAAAATTGAAAATGTATAACTTACATTAATGTTTGATATGAGTGACAACCACACCCACAATGATAACTATATCAAAATTGAAGATGTGTTGTTTACATTAATGTTTGATATGAGTGACAACCACACCCACAATGATAACTATATCAAAACTGAAAATGTATAACTTACATTAATGTTTGATATGAGTGACAACCACACCCACAATGATAACTATATCAAAATTGAAGATGTGTTATTTACATTAACGTTTGATACGAGTGACAACTACTCCCACAATGATAAATATATCAAAATTTTAAAATGTGTTAACTACATTAACATTGACAACTATATCCACAATGATAACTATATGCACATTGATAATTGGTTTACAGCAGTATTAACATTCAATGAGTTACAACTACATCCACAACGATAAATATATCCACGCTAACAACTACATTTACATTCAATATGAGTGCACCAAAAATGACAGTTATATCCATGTTGACAATTGATTATTAACTATATTTAACATTTATTTAATATGAATAGCAACTACATCCACAATGACAACTCTATCAATATTGTAAATATGTAAAGAACTACATAAATGTTTAATGAGACAACTACTACCAAGATGACAACTACTACCTAGATGACAACTACTACCTAGATGACAACTACTACCAAGATGACAACTACTACCTAGATGACAACTACTACCAAGATGACAACTACTACCTAGATGACAACTACTACCTAGATGACAACTACTACCTAGATTACAACTACTACCAAGATGACAACTACTACCTAGATGACAACTACTACCAGGATGACAACTACTACCTAGATGACAACTACTACCTAGATGACAACTACTACCTAGATGACAACTACTACCTAGATGACAACTACTACCTAGATGACAACTACTACCTAGATGACAACTACTACCAAGATGACAACTACTACCAAGATGACAATTACTACCAAGATGACAACTACTACCAAGATGACAACTACTACCTAGATGACAACTACTACCTAGATGACAACTACTCACACTGAATGACATCTTTGTTTATAGAGTATGAATGTCGCCACTTTTATTTTGACAACATTTTCCCTGAAAATAAATGACAAACATAGACACCCACTAGGAATCCCCCTTACATTGTCTGAATCACAACAGCTTTAACAATTAGGAGAACGTCAAATTTTCACATTGGCTAATTGACAAAAGCCTCACTTTGAATGATATGTACATTTATCTAGAAAATGACACATATACACACATCAGAAGTCAAACTCCTGTCTCGCTGTTGTCTGTCCAAGTCTTGCATAAAAACATTGAAATATTGAAATGTTAGTAGAATCTTAATTTAAACTCAAAATCATGACGTGATGAGGGGAAATGCAAATTCATAATTATTACAATATTATCAAACTAAAATATTTTTTTAGTTTTTATCTCTTAAATGTCACTTGATGATATATTTCAAAACCTTCATTAGAAAAAAATGACCAAAAAATATGTCATTGTTGAAAAGTAGGTAACGGGAATTAAGAGCCCTAATTACTAATTAAGTCACTCTTGAGCACCGTTTTTTTGTCTCAATGCATCTATAAACAATACGTTTATCACGTGCAGTGTATTTATTTGAAATATTTTTGCAAATATGGATGATATTAAAATGGAAAAAGTCAATTTAGCACCGGGTTTCACAGGATCATAAATTACCTTTGTCTATTACTTACGGGATGTGTATTTTTGTTTACCGCTTTAGTAAGGGGAATGGTGGTGTTGGGATATTCATTTAGGAGTCACTGTCGCTGTCACATTCTGACCAGTTCTCCACTGTCATTGCGTCATCAACACAACTAAGGAAACTGGAGGAGGCAGTTGTTTGTGCAGTATCAGACTGGTGTCGGTCATAAGAAAGATATCATAGGACAAATGCAATGTGGGCACAGCAGCCGACTACATTGGCACCAACCTTACATTGACAATACCAGCCTGATATTGGGGTCAGTCCATTAGAATATTCAATCCAAAGACTACACCTTCGAAGCAACATGTCGTGAACGAATCTGAACTTCGATCAAGTCAGGTTTCTCCCTGCATAGCATAAGTTCATACTGACCATCTTCAGCTACGTGCTCTTTGGTGTAGAATTTTGACTGTTTCAGCTGATATAACCCCATGGTAAGATCTCTCAACTCAGGTTCTGATAACTTTGAGAAATCAGGCAAACTGGCCTCATCAAGCTTTACCCAAATAGACCGCTTCCTTGTTAACTCTTCTGCCTCAATAAGAATTTGAAGTTTGTTAGGTGTTTTGGACAATGCCATCATTCTCTCAGCAATTATAATGTCATTGGGAGAATTCGAAGCAAGTGGAGGGCGAAAGGCATTGCAAATTGCACAAACAATTCGTACAAAATCTCCTACAACGGGAATTGGTGTGTTTGGCAGTACTTGTCCCAACGTCTTCCACTGCTTAATCCGTCCATTGGCTGACTCAACAACCCACCTTACCTTTGTAACAAAACGGGATTCATTTGATTCTTCGATGGTATGCTGCTTCTGATCCTTCGGTTGAAAAAATGGTATTTCTGTTTTGATACCAGAATCCCTAAAAAAATCTGTCACATCTCTGAAGCCTCTGTCAACAACAAGGACATCATCATCTTGAAACAAATCATTGATGTTCTCAGTGTTAGTTTTGAGCGTGTGCTTTGTGATATTGGCATCATTAATTGTTTCGACCATCTGCTAAATACGGACCAAGAACAGATATAACCATCAGAAGCTACAAGAAGCATTGGCTTCAAGAAAGGACGTCCCTTGTGCATTGAGAACGAGCGACGTTGGAATGTGTAATTACTGGATTTTTCAACATAAATATAAGTGCCATCAGCAACAACCACAGCGACATGCTCACCTGACGCAAACATTGTAGTATGGTTTTGGATAACTTGTTCTCTTGTGACGTGATGCAGGCCAATGTGGGAAGGAACAAAGTGATTCAGTAATGCTTTTCGAGCAGAGTGTATACATTTTCCACACGTTCGCTTTGTCATACTGAAAAACGTAGCTAAATTGCTAAGGACATGCCCGTTTTCAACTTAACAAGAAGAACAGCTAATGGTCATCTGCCCGACCACGTGGGTTTTCCCCGGGTACTCCGGTTTCCTCCCACAATAAGATCCCTCGCGCGCTTACATCCGGGCCAACAAGAGTGATTAGTATAAGTTGGAATAACTTGTTTCGCAATTGTTGTAAAATAAATAAAGTTTATATTATATATATAAAACAGCTAATGCAGTCCTTGCACTTCTGTATAGTGTAGAGTACAGAGATGTGTTAACTGACTGTAAAAGCTCGGAAAACTGAGATTTATAAAGTCCTGTGAGTCGATAATAATCTTGATCAGTTAATCCATCAGGTGAATCAAAGTCCAAACAACTTTTTCTAGAAGCCAGTGATCTCAGTGAAAGCAGGATTTCTGATATTTCAGATGAATCCAGTTCCGAGTCTTCACTGGTAGGAGTGAGTGACTGAAGAACATTGGAATAAATATCACCATCCACTATATGAGAAGCACAGCACCTAGATGTGTTTGGAATCAAGACACATGTCTTAATGAAAATCTTAACTCTTATTTCCGTACATGGTTTCACAATTTTACTTTTTTCATCTCCTGACTTCCCACAAACGAAACATCGCGACCCAGTAAGCGTAGCTCATGGAATATCAAGTTTGATTTTTTAGAGTCAGGTGTCTCATTCTGATGGTCTAAACCACTGTTAGAATGCTCTACTGGTTCATGTTGTTTGTAGAATCTCCCTCTGCATTTCTTACATACAGGGTCACCTAAACATAAATCTTTATTGATATCATCTTTCAAGAAAGGCAGAACATCTGCCTGATTCAGACAATATATTATGACTTTATAATCTGCTTTGCAGCAAGCACACTGCTTGTGTATAGGCATTTTACAAAAATAACAAAAAGTTAATAAAAACTAAACAAAATACTATAATATTATTATATATATATGTCACACTTGTATGAATGAAATTATATTTAACGGTTTAGTGATACACAAGATATGTGCATAAGTCAATGCATGTACGAAATGCACAGAACAAAGTATACTTATATATCTGGATATACCATGTATTACATACACTGCATTGTAGATTACTGAAGTTTGCTAGTGTTTGAAACAAGACCATTAACAAGATATACATCAAGGAGATGTCATGATGTCATACTATTTTATGTTAAAGCTCTAGTGTCAAACCATCTTATGTTAAAGCTCAAGAATACAACTAATGCACGGAAAAATTATTATACTGTGAAATTTATTTGAAATTAATTTTCATACAGTATAATTCAATATTCATTTTCATTAACCGGAATAAGATAGTGACCGGTGCTCTTGCACTTTAAATTGTCTATTTAAATGGCATGCCTCTCTTACCCTGAATGTAACTTCTTCATTGCTCTAATTCATGCAAAAATTTTTCAAATAAATACACCTCACGTGATAAACGTATTGTTTATAGATGCATTAAGACAAAAACCGGTGCTCAAGTGTGACTTAATTAGTAATTAGGGCACTTAATTACCGTGACCTACTTTTCAACAATGACATATTTTTGGTCATTTTTTCTAATGAAGGTTTTGAAATATATCATCAAATAAAATTTAAGAGAAAAAAAACTAAAAAAAATATTTTAGTTTGATAATTAATGCAATAACTATGAATTTGATCCCCGACTCGTCCCCCCTATAACAACTGAACAGCCTTGAGCTGACCTTAGATTAATGTCATGTCATTACCACTTGACCTCAAGTTTTTAATAGACAAAAAAAAAATAAAAAGTATTCGTCATGGCCACCAGAAGGCTCAAACTGGCACTCCTCCTTTGGACAACACCTAATCATTCCTATAGGAGGAGTAGCATTTTACAGAGTTTGTTCCACTTCCACATTACCAAAATTTGACAATACCCAATGATTCCTACTGGAGGAGTAGAATTTTAAATAAAGAACTTGTAGGCCTCATGGTGACTAATTATAAAAAAATTTATTCCACTTTGGATACTTTAGACCAAATTCGGTTAAAATCTGCTTAGTCGTTCATGAGTAGAAGCAATTTGTAGAAAAAAATTGACAGTTGGGAAGATGACAGACTGCAGCGGTATGCCATAAGCTCACCTGGACTTGAACCTTCATCCCAAGTGAGCTGAAAATATGAGCAAAAGAACATTCTTTCCAGTTTTAATCCGCTTTTACTTCCATACAATGTATTTATCAGTATGACTCAAGATATGAACCCTCATAGCCCTTTTATTGGAGTTATTTATGTCTCTTGTACTTCATGTAACAAAACCTTATGAAATACACTTCTTTCACATTTATAATGGCCCTAAGATTCACTTTGTCTTATCAGTTTGACTTTAAAAGATGTGCACCCTCTTTTTCATGAAGTTATCTGTCCTTTTAATAGAGTTTTGCCCCCTTATGCTGATTCAGCTTACAAAATTTGTGAAATCATAATGCCTTCCAGAGTTTTAAGCAGATTCCAATAAATGTTTTCTTTACACTGTCATTATTAAGAATTTCAATATACTGTGTGAACCTCTCGTAACACTTCAACTTGCTGCCATTATCACATGACTATTGATGAACAACATTCCGATAACTTTCCTTTTTATTATGTATGATCATTTAAACATTGCTGATATTGACAACAAGACCTTTTTTTAAAATCAATTTAATATTCCATCAAACTGGACAACAATAACAATACATGATCTTAGATATTTACAACAAGTACAGAAAAATAAACATTTTCCTGGAAGTACAAAATAATCTTGATACTTTGAATTATCAAAGTACAGGTACAATACCAAACATCCATCACATCATTAACCTGTTAAACTAACCACAAATACATAACTTTACTTTGAACATTTCTCAACATCTTTCTTCTCAATTTACGTGTTGCTCTTTATACCAGTAATACATAAAATCAAGGTTCTGTGGATATTGTACATCTTACAAGTTATTGCATTAGAAAATCTTGTTGATATGTCCGATTTGACAGGAATCTAATGGTAATTACACACTTTTAAATCATTTTATTACCATAAGCCTTGTGGCTCATCAGTATAAGATACATTACAACAATTTACATTGTACTTAAAAAAGTTACGCTGAGTAATTGTTTAAACAAACAATGAAATGCATACTTTCAACTTTCTCCTCTTTTCTTATAACTCACACATGTGGCATTGATAAATTCTCTCTTGTTAAAAGATTTCATACGTTGGATAAATCTTAACATGCTAGGTCTATTATAATAATATTTCTAAATGAAACTTTTCCTTGAATCTAGATATCATTCACATTTAGGTATTAAATGAAATTCAATGGCATCACTGTTACACAATGTACAAATTCTATTATTCCTTTCAATATTATATTTCCTACTTTCACTTTGTAAGATGATTTTGAAAACTGTGTAAACCCTGTTTATATCATCATGTTGTGATTGATAATCATGCTTTAATTACAGTTTTTATATCACCTTTTACGAACAAAGAAAAGAAATGAGACTTATATTTACTGTATTGAAATAAAATAATGCATTAAAATGTCCAACCTATCTGTTTTTGCAATTTTCAATAAACCATAGCTTATCCTCCATACAAACATTTGATCAGTCCTCGAATTGATAAGCATGATACCAAAAGACTTTAGTAATTCATTCATTATATCATAAACTTCGCCTCACTCTCATCTACACCGTTTTTATTGAAGTCTATCCTAGAATAACCAAAAAATGAATTTACACTATTGACCTTTGAACCCTCTCAGCATGACCTTCATTCCTCTTTACACTAGTTTATTTCTTCAATATAAAATCATTACCTTGAACAGATATAGTAATACATATTGGAGAATGGTGAGAAAAAAAAATGTAAAAGGATTCCATTCTGAAAAATATACCATATTCTGAAATAGGTTATTATATGTCAATAGATAATCAATTCAACTAGATCCTCACTCTACTGATATACTACCACTCAAGTCATCTTTATAGCACTCATTTATAATTGAATAATTGTAAAGGAGAAAGGAGTTGTATTCAAATCTGATTACCATAGGAGTCCATATTTGAACGTGTTGATGGGAGAGAGTCATTTACATAGTTTACGATATCAGATATGATATTCACAATCTCTTGATTTACATCATGAATAGTAATATAGTCACTCGCAATTCTCATTAAAATCTCACAATAAAATCTCCTTTCCTAACACTTTGTAATCATATCACTGGCAAAATGTCTTCTTCATATATTCAATAAACAGTACTATTAAGAAGTGGGAAATACAGAGTAACAAGCAAATAAATACATCCCACAGCAATCTTCATTTTTAAGTCACTATATATCTTAAACAAAACATATTTCTCATTAATATTATCAAATCACAAATCGCTTGTCTACTAAAAATTACAATTCCTCTGCCTCTACCTCGCAATCTTCTTATTCTGCTTCCTCATCTATTTCAACCCAAAATCAAAATGTCACGTTTATTTATAATATTTAGCAAGTCTTCACTACCTAATTTCCCAATATATATATATCCTATCACATTACAGTTAGTCCCTCCACATGGCCTTTATATTATGATAAGTCAAGGCTTAGCTCAAGCATATTTCATCTGTCCATTCCACTGATTTCAAAGCCTGCAACTAAACTCTAAAGCTTTTGGGCATGTATCCTTGATCTTCAACCTCCTGCTTGTCATTGTAGTTCAGGGAATGGACCACAACTGGTCAGCATTTGCCAAGAATTTTCACCTAGAAACTCGGTATGTTCACAATTTCTAACTGAAATGTTACTCCTAGTTGACTTTGGAAAAAGTTATGTATTTCATCCGTTATATTTTCATGCTTATATAGTAAGCACAATGTTGTATTTCATGCCCCTAACTCTCTATTCTATAAATCTTCTTTGCGTTCCTCAGTCCCTTTTAAACTACATACATTCATTCATATCAAGTTACAGCTTAGTTTGTACTGATACTTCTGATTCTGTTCATCAAGTCTTAAATTTCACCCTGTGTTTTCAATAATGCTGTCTCGTTTTTCTGACTTTCACTTTCATTTTGTCATAGAGTTCACCAATAGCTTCTTAACTGTAGAATTTCCTTCATCTTTTGCTCTATTAACAACAACCAAGGCACATACTAAGCACTACACAGAATAAGGGAGCAAATCAACATGCAATGAAAACTCACCAAAAGATTGAAGTGACACAGAGACACACAGAATTGTAAGTAAGTTTTCACTTCATATGAGATTTAATGAAATAGGTCTTAGGTGTTTGAATTTTTGCGAGGCTTTGCTAACAAAAAAAAGGAAACCTTTGAGGCAAGTTTTATAAAATCTCATGAAATGAAAACAAATTTAAGAGACTTGTCATCACATAACCCAGAAAATTTACATTTCCACAAGTGTTTAAGAAAAAATGTTAAGGACAATATCGAATGAAGGCAGTCATTTGTTGCACCATTCATATTCACTACTTACCATCATCATTGTCCATATTATGACATCACAATCTATTTTTCTGTGGTGCAACAAATGAAAAAGGCTCCATGGTATAATACTCAAGTTACATATACACATAAATAACATATGGACAAATTCACTGCATTAAACCGTCCAATTAAGTAATAAAAGACATTACTTTTAAAGTAATCACAAGTCATACATCCACATCATTTAATGACCTTTAATTTTGAATATATATTCAGAAATGTAGATCAAACTTAAAATGTCCTCATTCTGGATGCCTTACAGTTGAAAAATATCGACACAGAACCTAAAAAATGAAAACATTAGTTGTGGTTTTAAAACAATGAATTCAAAAGATCCCAAAGAATAACCCTCCTCATCCCTTCTCTCCATGGAAAAGAATAAATACCCACTTTTTCATATTAATTTAAAGTTTTCATATATTATGTATACATTAAGATGTAAAAATACGACCTTATTCCAACTTTCAAATACATGTACCTAACTTCTTTATATCTGTTCATTTCATGTTATATAAACAACATTGTATTCCATCATTATCTACTATCACACAGAAACATCTAGTCATAACAAACATTTTGCATAACGTTTTATCTCATCCTTCCTGTCTTTAATATCTAAACAATGACAGATTATAACTCAGAAAAATAAATCCAAAAAGGGCCATGGGCCTTAATGGTCATTTGAATATATACACCTAATAAATGCAGTCATCGAAACAATTATGAAAAACCCTATTTAAACAGTGCATGTCGAATTCGCTCTTAGCAAATTTCAATCAAATTATTGAAACATTCAGATCAATCCTTCTTATTTGAGCTTTTGAAAATCCCTTGGGAATTTTATCTCAATGGCACCAGCAGTAGAACTAGAGAATTGAAGATAGTAATTCTGGCGGTCTTTGATTTCAGATCCATATGAGAAGTAACAGCACTATCATGTAAAAAAACCCAACAGATCCCAGAGAAATCTTGGCACCCACCATGCTTTTATCTTTATTTGTTCTATAGGATAGAATCTTTCTCCTACTTTTCTCTTCTCTTCTGTTTTTGCTTTTAATGATGAAAAATTTGAACATTTATCTTTTGCGAAAATAGCGTTAACAAACTTTATTAACATTCAAGATGGTCAGCTGAAAGCCATCTTGTCTCCTCTGATTAGTCCCAAAATCAAACAGGCACAACTAGGGATCAAATTTGAGAAAAATCTATGCAACAGAAGTAGCGATAACTAACTTTATGAGACGAAGTACAAGATGGCTGCATGTTGGTCATTTTGTTTTTCCAAATCAAACAGGCACAAATATGGATCAAGGGGAACATACATATGAAATTTGAGGGATCTATGCTGTAGTTCTCAAAAAACAGCAACAACAAACTTTCACTGTGAAAATCCAAGATGGCCACCTGTCAGCCACTAGGGACAAAGGGAAACCTACACAGGAAATTTGAGAGAAATCCATTGAGTACTTCTCAAGAAATAGTGATAACAAACTCTAACAGACGAAATTTAAGATGGCCACCTGTTGGCCATATTGTTTTTCAAATCAGACCAAAAATCAAACAGGAACAACTAGGAACCAAAGGGAACCTACAAAGAAAATTTGTGAGATATCCACTGAGCACTTCTAAACACATAGCGATAACAAACTTCATTGAAATAATCCAAGATGGCCGTCTGTCGGCCATTTAGTTTTTGTTATCAGACCAAAAAATCAAACCAGAACAAAGAGGGACCAAGAGGAACCTACAAAGAAAATTTGTGAGATATCCATAAAGTACTTCTCAAGAAATATTCATAACAAACTTTAATAGTCAAAATCTAAGATGGCAGCCTGAAGGCCACTTTATAGATCTGATCAGACCAAAACCAATACAACTAGGGACCAAAGGCAACCTATATATGAAATTTGAAAATGATCCATCCAGGACTTCTCAACAAAAAGCGATAATAATCTTCATTGAAATAATCAAATATGGCTGCCTGTTGGCCATTTTGTTTCTCTGAACAACCCCAAAATCAAACAGGCACAACTACTGACCTTTGGAAACCTATATATGAAATTCAAGAAAGACCCATACAGCATTTCTCAAGAAAAAGTGACAACAAATAATGTTTATGGATGGATGGTAGACGGATGTAGAGCAATTTATATAGCCACCATCTGATAATGTTTGCTAAAAAGGTCGTTGTGGCTAGCTGCCATGTCAAACATTTGAACAGACAAAAGAATAACAACATATTGTTGGCATCCTGTCCTTAAAACTCCCATCAATTTTCAGCTCAATGGCCCTAAAATTTTTTTTCTTTAAATTCATGTTTTTTTCAAAATGGCAGAAATGGTGGCCATATTGGATTCTGATTGACCCAAAAAATAACAACACATCATGGTCATCCTTACCCAAAAATAAAAGAAAAAGACTGTTAATATTTTGAGTGCATTGTCGACATAAACTGTGTTCTAAACTCTAAGTTAATCAGAAACATACTGAAATTATATCACAGTGAGGGCAAAAGTTGCCGAGGAAATCTTCAGTTGAATGAAAGCATTTGATGTTATACATAATATTGTGTACTTATGCCTTCATCAAATATTTATCTTAATATACTGCAGATAATCTGTAAGGTCTGTTACCAATTAAGATGTTACAAAACCCTACATTTTAACTCCTGTGTTTTAAACACTACATACAAATAAAGATGTACCAAAGTACAGATATTTATAAAACAATAATAAATCACGGTAATAGAATGATAATTATGCGAAGTCTTTTTCATCAGCTTGATGTAGTTTCCGCTCATTCAATAAAAATATATATGCTACCGCATTGCACTGGAAAGTCTGTTCTTCAGCCAAAGCACAAAATTGGATTGTTTAATGCATGTAGTAATCACATAAAACACAATAAAAATCAAGAGACAAAACACAACATTGATGGTTTGCTCTTGAATATCTAAGACATCAAGGCAATGGATTTCTTCTCCGGCCACATCTGTTGTGTATGGTTGCACAATAATGTCACCTCTGTTTCTGGTAACCAGCTAAATAGATTGGCTTCCTTGGAATTTGATGGAGCACAGTGGGGAACAGGACCTGATAAATATATAAACATATGACACTGAAGATACATGTGTTTATTAATTTTTGTACCAAGCTGGAAATGCAACTACATGTATTTATATTAACTGTTTCAATGTTGTGTCATTGAGGAAATTTGCTGATTCCTTTGTAATAAATGGAATTAACAAAATGGCTAATAGGCCTGCATGGAATTCAATGTTTCTTAAAAAATTGAATAAGTATTTATCACAAAGATATTAACACACCACCATTTGCTTTCAAATTGGCACATCAATCAATTTTAACCAATTTTCACAACAAACAGCTTCTAAAACTAAACAGTGACAGTTATAAACTGGGTTATATGTAAATATCTCTTCTTTTTCTCAAAATTTCTTAAGCTTTGACGTAGAAACACCTTTCCATCAAACATCCTGCTTCACAGATTTTTGGTTTACCAGAAGAAGTCCTTTACCGGTTAAGTAAATATGACCCCTATGACCTTGAATATGGGTCAAGGTTATATATTTTTTCAAACTTGTTAGGCTTTATCCTAGGAACGTATGAACTAAACAAAATACTTCAGCATCTTTTGGTTTGTCAAAAGTAGTCATTTTAAGGTTTTAACAAATTCAACCCTGTGACCTTGAATATAGGTCAAGGCCTTTTTTGGTTTTTATTTTCTTTGCACACATTGTGAAGCTTCATCCTAGAAACATATCAGCCAATATCAGCAAGTATCATGATTTTCTGACCCATAAGCTCAGTCAGTAGAAGTCATTTAAAGTTTTTAACAAATTTGACCCCTGTGACCTTGAATATACGTCAAGGTCATTTCATTTCAAACATTTTCTAGGGTTTTATCCTTAGGACATATCAGCCATATACCATACTTTTGTGCCTTTTAGTTAGGCAGAAGAAGTCATTTAAAGTTTTTAACAAATTTGACCCCTGTGACCATGAAAACAGCCCAAGGTAATTTCTTTTAGAAAATTTTGTTTTGCATCACCCAGGAACCTTGTCAGCTAATTATTATGCTTCTGTGCCTCTTGGTTAGACAGAACTAGTCATTTAAAGTATTAAATAGATTTAAAACCTGTAACCTTATATATGAGTCAAGGAAATTTCTTTTTCACAACCTTTGATAGTCAATATTAATACAATATAGGATTTTCAATGCAAGTTAATAAGAGTTCATATTGAGATAAAAACAAAAAACAAGAGGCCCATAAGCCTGTATAACTCATCTGCTTGATTGAAAGTGCTTATAACAACTAAAGGAAAAGCAGTTCTAAATATCCAAGCACACAACACACCACATATAATTTTTCCCTTTTGGGTCTCAACCCTCTGTCCCTTGGAGGTCAGTCAAACCATTTGATGCATAGTTCAAGTTGCATAAATTATAATGTAATACATGTGTATTTCTTTCATTTGGCTAATATTGATCTTTCTGTCATAAATACATGTTCCAATATCCATTTCCAAGTTCTTCATTTACTCCAGGAAAATGAAAGCGAGAAAATGTGTATATATATATATATATATATACATACATATAATATATTGATGACCAGAAGATATTGTTAACTTTGGTGAAGGTCTCAAAAACATTCTTGAAGTTTGGGTTTTTTAATCCCAAACATGTAAGTTTTTAAACTGTCATTGTTAGCTTTAAATAGCAGTTACTGAACCTCTATAAAGGTCACTTGACTATGAAGGACATTCAAATATTTTAAGTTTTGATACTGCTTGTTAAATACTGAAACAGTACTGTTGATTTTCATAAAGGAAACTTGACTACTATATATTGATAGGTTGACTATTGCTTGCTCAGAGCATAAGAACATTGTGGTGAGAGAGTCGATACACTGCACACACAATACTTACTCGATTGAGCGAGTCGTCTGTGAACATCCATCATCTTGTTACGACAGTACTCAGAGGCCTCTTTGTGGTCTACCATGGGTCGGGGATAGTCTTTACCAATTATACAGTTTGCCTTTTCTTGTATGTGGTATGGGGCTTTCCAGGGTTCAAACAAATACTGCATTGGCATATCCTTCAAAACCGGCACATACCGCCTAGAAAGACAAGAGGTCAACAAGGCCTGTATCACTCATCTAACTTTGACTGTAATTGCTTCAACAAAACAAGAGATACAAGAGGGATCTTCTTTTCTCTTTGAAAGTTGGATCTTTCCCCTTCTTTTCTCTTCTCTGTTTTTGCTCTTAATGATAAGAAATTTGAACATTCCCTTGCACATAAAGCGATGATAATCTTTACCTGCCAAATCCAAATGGTTACCTGAAAGCCATTTTGTTTCTTCTTATCAATCCCAAAATCAAATGGGCACAAGTAGAGACCAAAGGAAACATACATATGAAATTTGAGAGAGATCCATCCAGTACTTCTTATGAAATAGCAATAACAGACAATTAAGGACCAAGGGGCACCTGCATATGAAATGTGAGAAAGATTTATGCAGTATCTCTCCTGGAAACAGTGATGAAGTTTTGATGTCATAAAAAAAAGAAAGCTGCCTGCAGGGGATGTTCTTTTTCTGATTAGTACCAAATGAAATTTGAGAAAAATGAATGCTGTAGCTCTCAAGAAACAGCGTTAACAAACCGTCAAGGTCAAAATCCATAACGGTCACCTGTCAATCATTTTGTTTTTCTGATTAAACCAAAAGTCAAATGGGCACAACTAGGGACCAAGGGGAACCTATATATGAAATTTATAACAGATAAATCCAGTAATTCTCAAAAAATAGTGATAACAAACCAGCAAAATCAAAGATGATTGCCTGTCAGGCATTTCGTTTTTCTGATCTGTCCCAAAATGAAATATGGGCAACTAGGAACAAAGGGAAACCTACATACAAAAATTGAGAGCGATCCATCCAATACTTCTTAAAGTTAAAATACAAGATGGCCACCTTTCAACCATTTCATTTGTTTGATCAGTCCCAAAATTAGATGGGCACAACAAGAGACCAAGGGACACCTATATATGAAAATTGAGAAAGATCCATTCAGCATTTATCAAAAACTAGCCATAACAAAAAAATTGATTGCAGACAGATGGATGACCCTGGACAAGGGACCATGGACATAGTGCTATTTGAATAGCCCACCATCTGATGATGGTACATATGTTAATATAAATGTATCTATTTCCTCATTGGGCCAATTCCCTCTGCCCTCAACAGGTAACTGTTAATTAAGAAAATAATGCATGGATGATTAAGACGTAATTGGGGCAAAATCTTGGCATTCCTGCAACAGAAGAAAAATTTTGAAGAATTTGCAAAATGTTAACCCAAATGGACCCTGATCCTCCTGCTCAGGGACCAGGTCAATCATTTACACAAAAATAATTTCTATTCACCCCAGAATGATGGAGACCAAATTGGGACGAAATCCTGACATTCTTCAGAAAAAGAACCATTTCCACTCTCCACAAAAGAAATGGTTCCCACTCACCCAAGAATACTTCAGCCAAAATTTAGACAGAATTATGAAATCCCTATGGAACAAGGAAGATTTTTAATCTTTTGTTCTGCCTCTCAGGCCTGGGGGTTGGGAGCCTTTGGTAATGTTCATCTTTTCCTCACCCCACTTTGTTCAACTATCAAGTTGGTCAATGTCAAATTAGTTTGAAATTTCAATCAAAGTCCTTTATTTCCATGTTACCAACTTATAGCATAGTCCTCAGTCTCAATATTACAAACAGCAGTTATTTAAAAATTTTAATGCATATGACTCCTGTGACCTTGAAAATGAGTCAAGCCTATAAAGGTCGCTCATTCAATTAAGCAGGATGTTTGTTAAAACTCATAATCAGATATTTTCAGATAACCAGGATATAGTCTTTTTTAAATGCTTTAAGACATCTAACCTTTTAGCCCCTGCATAGTCAACGTGATTCATTTGAATTTTGGTAGCATGTTTTTTTGCACATCGTTCTGCAGTGTAAAATTTTAGGATCATATCAAACATTGTAACCTAATCACCTCAGATATTTACCTCACAAATTGTCCCTTAGGATCCATACGTCGTCCATATCCTACAGGGCAGAAACATGTTGCACATTGAAACACTTTCTCAAATGCTGAGCTTGACATCCACATCCAATTACCGGCACAAACTGACCAATCAGCATCAAGCTGGTACTTAAAAAACACCTGGATATATAAAATATATGTACTACTTGTAAGTACAATATCTATCAGTTAGCAGTACGATATAACGACTAGCCCTATTTACTCTTAAACTATGCTGAAAAGGATAAAGGGTTTCTGATGGAAAACATTGGAATTTAACGGCATCAACAATAGGCTCACAAAGGTTCTTTGAATAGAAAACACAGCCAATATTTTGTAACGTTATTTGTCTGTGTAGAAAATAAAACCAGTTTATTGTCATTTCAACATTATCTTACTTAACATTAATTCATCAACAGAATAACATTGATAAAATTAAACATTGTAATAACATTATCTGTACATCACTTAACGTTATGAAAATTTGGTGGTGTAACAGTAATTGCTGTTCTGAGATTCTAAGTACATAACATTTGAATTCTAAATACGCTATAACCTCAATATATGAACGACGGCCTTCTTTAAAATTTCAGTATAAAGTCTTCCTATGATTTGTATCTCTCTTTGTTTGCTTTTCCTTTACGATTTTACTTTAACATATGATACATTTTTGAACATTTCATGATGTTTATTTCATGGTTTCCTATTTTTTACCAAACAACAAAATTTTATTGAAGTATGTATGTGCATGTAACAACTTTAAAGCCAATAAGCAAAGTTCCAGAGGTATCAGAAATTATTTCATGAAAACCTGAAAATAATTACAACCATTCTAAAATGAAAATCAATCTTAAAATAGTTATTAACAGATCTGAAGAAACATCTAACCAAAGACTGATGGAAGGATGGATAGACAGCACAAATACTATGTTTTATATGCCACAACCCTGTCATGCAGGAGTATAACAAGAAGCTGAATGGGCCAGCATAGCTCACCTGGTACCTGGTAACTTTTACATTGTTGACATTTGAATATTTGGTGTAAATGAGAAGAAATTATTTGAAATAATACCAAACCTGATTCCGTTAACTTTGTATATAGGCCAAAGACATTCTTTACACAAAATTTGTTGAACTTCAATACAAGAACTTTCCACAAAAATATGATTCAGGGCCTTTTAGTTAATCAAAAAAAGTATTGAAAGTTTTAACAAATTTGACCATTCTGACCTTAAATATGGGTCAAGGTCATTTGTTTTCACAAAATTTGTAAGGCTCCATCCCAGGAACCTACCAAAGAAACATCATTATTCTAAGCATTTTGGTTATTTATAAGAAGTTGTTTAAAGAGAAAATTTGATGTCAGACAGACGGACTCCACGTAAGCTCATTTGGCTTTTTAGAGTGAGTTAGCAAAACGGGTAAGGAAATGCATTGTTTTTTAATTGATCATCATCAACTGTAAAAGGGGTCAGTAAAAAAGGTATGTAATCTTTTAAAGCTCTTCAGGGCTGAGTTGGCCCTTTAAACAGATTCATACCTGGCAGCCCAGTTCCCAGTTGATCCAGAGATCACCACGAGTCAGAAAGCAGGAAACAGCATGACGGACCACATGGTGACACCATCCCTCGGCTCGCAACTGATTCATACCTGCATCTATCCAGGGATATCCTGTCTGTCCCTACAACAGCAATTTCACTTTATGATACATAGCAAGTTTACCTTATTGTGTTTGGAGAATTGAAGAGATGTATCAGGGAAGTGGTGTTTTTCGAAACCATATAACAATGAAAGTAATGTCATGAACCAAGATTTCTTAGGAATTTTAAACTACAGTCAAACCTCGTTAACTCGAAGTCGATGGGACCACGAAAATACTTTGAGTTATCCGAGTCTTCGAGATAGCCGAGTTCATGAGTTTTGGTGCAAAGATTTTTAATGTTCCTGACGTTCCTTGTACTTTTTGTCACTTTTTGGCTATATACGAGCTTGATGTAGATTCCGGTAATAAGCAAACATATTTTGTTCTTGATCGTTGAAAAACCAGAATTGATAATTAAATTAGGTGCAGTTTGCTTATTATTTAGAAACCATCAATTTCGTTCTGTCAGTCCTTTTTAATTAACGAGAACTAGATTAGCCTACATGTCAACACGAGTCTAGGCTACATAAATAACGATGATACGGAAATCAACATTCACAATTTAATAATTTGACATTAATTAAACACATAATACAAACAAAATAGAACCAAATCTAACATTTTAAGAAACACATACAATGTGAAAAACCGGGCCAGTGTTGTGATTGTTTTCTATAGCTTAGTTCCGCTTCACTGAGTGTATACACAGGTGGGTGTTTGTTATGGCTGACAGACACGGAAATTACGCAATGTGAGTAGAACTTCACTTTTTATCGCCGATATCTATCAATTATAAGATCTAACGGTTACCTTTTATCATTCAAGTAAATAACAATAAACACTTTTCTAAAACATGAATATTGTTAATTACAGTATTGTTCATTAATATTCACTTGTAAAGCCTATTGTCGGTAAAATTGCAAAACGGCGTAGCGCATCAGCAATGTAATTGACCGGCACAAAATTTATACTTCGAGTTTTCCGATCATATTCAGTATATGTTTTGTTGTTGGGACCAAATTTTTACTTCAAATTAACAGAGTTTTTCGAGTTTTCCGAATTCGAGTTTTCCGAGTTTTGATTACTAGAATAAAGAGAAGATTTTGCCGGGACCGACAAAGTGCTTCGAGTTAAACGGGGTCTTCGAGTTTTCCGAGTTCGAGTTAACGAAGTTCGACTGTACGTGGGTAATCCAAAAATCAAATATTACAAATATCACTGAATACAAAGCAAGGTGGTACATTTAGGTCTGACATTCAAAAGTTAAAACAAGAGATTCCGAAGGGATTTTTAGTACCCATTGTTGTATTAACTTCTTTCCTCGACGTACAACAAAGAACAGACAGACAGCAGACCACTGATACAGTGTGACTTGAAAAGTATATTCATCCAATTAAAATAGGCTAATGAACATCTTTGAACAGATCTTACAGCAGTTTCCATTCACATGAGAATTGTCGCCTGTTTTCAAATTTTTTATTTTACTTAGCCTTCGGTGAGGTAAACGAAAAAAATCTTAGCACAAATCACTGTTTGATCATCAATGCTCTTAAAAGCTTGACATGTTTCTTTTCTCTAATTTCAACTGCTGTTGGCCTTAATTATATGAAATTTGAAAATTCCTCATTAAAATTGATAACAATTGCCAAATACAAATATGGTTGGCTGTCAGGCCCTTATGTTTTTCTTATTAGTCCCAGCTTCAAAAGGACACAACTAAGGAGTGAATAAGGGTTACCAAGGTATTAAATTTGAGAAAGTATTTCCCAAAGGTAGAGATAACAATCATTACTGCGAAAATTCAAAGATTGTTGCCTATCAAATATTTTTGCTTTTTCTTATCATTCCCAAAATCAAAAAAGCACAGACAAGGACAAAAGGGATTCTGCTTATGAAAAGTTAAAAAGATTCATCCAGGCTATCTCAAGAAAGAGTGATAACAAACATTTTAAAAAACAAGATGACTGTCTGTCAGCCATTTCTTTTCTCTGATCAGTCACACAATCAAAATGACACAACTAAGGACAAAGGGGAACCTTCATATGAAATATGACAAATGAGCATTAAAATCAAATGAAGTAACATTACCATGACCCATTTTTCCAGCTTTTCTGAGTCTTCATCCCAGGCAATGTCCAGACAGATTGGGTTCTCCTTCATCTTGTCAAAGAACATATTTTTTACAGACATGGTGTAGAAATACTCTCGCCAAACTAACTGACCTGTCAGTGATATTGGTACTTCTTTGTCACCATGAATCTGTAATGAAATATCACCATCATACTTTTTACAATGACACAGATAAGCTCTTTGTAACAGTAATATCATATGCAGCAGACACTTCCTTGTCTCCACAAATCTGGCAGTAAAACATCACAGTTAAAGCATCACAATAACAGCACATTTTGTGAATTAAACATCACAATTACAGCACATTTTGTGAATTAAACATCACAATTACAGCACATTTTGTGGATTAAACATCACAATTACAGCACATTTTGTGGATTAAACATCACAATTTAAAAACATTTTGTGGATTAAACATCACAATTTAAAAACATTTTGTGGATTAAACATCACAATTACAGCACATTTTGTGGATTAAACATCACAATTTAAAAACATTTTGTGGATTAAACATCACAATTACAGCACATTTTGTGGATTAAACATCACAATTTAAAAACATTTTGTGGATTAAACATCACAATTACAGCACATTTTGTTGATTTAACATCACAATTACAGCACATATTGTGGATTAAACATCACAATTACAGCACATTTTTTTGGATTAAATATCACAATTACAGCACATTTTGTGGATTAAACATCACAATTACAGCACATTTTGTGGATTAAACATCACAATTTAAAAACATTTTGTGGATTAAACATCACAATTACAGCACATTTTGTGGATTAAACATCACAATTACAGCACATTTTTTTTTATTAAATATCACAATTACAGCACATTTTTTTGGATTAAATATCACAATTACAGCACATTTTGTGGATTAAACATCACAATTACAGCACATATTGTGGATTAAACATCACAATTACAGCACATTTTTTTGGATTAAACATCACAATTTAAAAACATTTTGTGGATTAAACACATTTTTTGTGGATTAAACATCACAATTTAAAAACATTTTGTGGATTAAACACATTTTTTTGTTGATTTAACATCACAATTACAGCACATATTGTGGATTAAACATCACAATTACAGCACATTTTTTTGGATTAAATATCACAATTACAGCACATTTTGTGAATTAAACATCACAATTACAGCACATTTTTTTGGATTAAACATCACAATTACAGCACATTTTGTGGATTAAACATCACAATTACAGCACATTTTGTGGATTAAACATCACAATTACAGCACATTTTGTGGATTAAACATCACAATTACAGCACATTTTGTGGATTACACATCACAATTACAGCACATTTTGTGGATTAAACATCACAATTACAGCACATTTTGTGGATTAAACATCACAATTACAGCACATTTTGTGGATTAAACAACAAAACCACAGTGCAATTTGTGGATTAAACAACAAAACTACAGTGCAATTTGTGGATAAAATATTACAACTGCAGTACATTAATGTGTCAAACATCACAATTACAGCAAATGTTTTGTAGTCTTATATTCTTTTAAAGAATCACTCACTGATCATATAGTCCGAAAATCATGAAAATTCAAAATGTACATCAGAAATACAGGCAAATACAAGGAAATGAAGTGTTGTCCAAAAGAGCCATACCCTTTGCAAGTTTATTTACATTTTTATTTGAGTGAGATTAATATCAGCCTTTCATCTCCTTGACAATGAGACACAAGATTCCCAACCCTAACAGAGAAATATGTAAATATGTAGATTGCAGAGTGTTTAGCAACTAATGGACCTTTCCAAGAGGGTTAAGATTGAAACACCTGATATATATCTCACTTACAAGAGACTGCACATTATTTTCTCCCTCGATTCCAAAGTTTATATAACCCAGATGGTATAATTAATTCTGTGTTAAAAATAGTCACTTACCTGGTATACTTCAACAAATACTATGACCTATCAACCTATATCCTTATAGGTTACATACTTACCTCTTTGTACAGGTCATGAATGCCCCAGTAGAATCTCCTTACAGACACACAGCCAAACCGCAGATGGGGACTCAAACTAGCTGGAGGACCAACTAGGTCCGGTAAAAACTGATTGGGCAGCATGACTTTGTCAGCAATGTGCTGAAAATGAAGATTTTGATATTAACCTATAAAAAGTATATTAAGTGTACTTTTTGTATCTTATGCACAAAAGCTTTTTATTTCAAACTGGTCAAGCTTTAAGGCTGACCATCACGCTAAGCTAATTCTCTTCTTACAAACTGAATCTCTCAACAAATTAACCAATGAAATTTCTGTGTGCTACATACATGTAACTTCAAAAACAGACACTCAAACCTCCATCTTTGATTATATAAATATTAGCAGTACAAGTGTGTCTGGCATTTTTAAAAATACACAGAATGGTTTTATCTAAAGGTCAATATCCACAGATGTCCATCATACAGCACTTTAAACCAAAACTTTCACTTCCAGAAAGAGCTAGATTTGAGAAATAACCTTTCTCTCGTTTGTGAGTCGCTTCTCCAGGAGCTGTAGGGCTTTTGTCTCTCCCCCTAACCACTCATTAATGCGTTCAGTCTGCTCCTTGCATTCTGGTTCATAACCTGGTCAACCAAAATAAAACACTGGTGGAGTGTGGAAAAATAAGACAATTGAAATTTAGATTTTTATATACATGGGGTTCCTTCACCACACATACATTTTTCTCTGACATTTTTGTTTTTTTCCCCACATTAAGCCCCCTGAAGTATGGTGATTATGGGATTGCAACCAACCAGCACAATAGATATTTGATTTGTTAAAATTTCTCTCATGTTTGAAAATATGTAAAGTTTGTAATAAACAAAAAGGCCTGTGATGTCTCCTGAATCTCATTAACTTATTTCAGTGTTAACAAATCTGATCAAAATTGTCCAATACAATGAAATTTTAATTTGTAAAATTATGTAATACCATTACAGAAACAAATGTGAAATAACATTCTGTAACTTGAATTAGTTGTAGACGATGACTACTGAGTAGTGTGGATTTAAATCCCAACAGTCATGTTGTTGGTAACTTGGATCTAGTTATCAGACAAATAATGCAAGCAATTACATATGGGTACATTGGCAATTAATCACCTACCCAAAACAGTATTTCGTTAATGACCTTATGGATTGCTATAAGCACTGAAAACCTGCTTTATTTATAACATCAAACATATCTGAACAACAAAAAATGAAAAGTTGGGATACAAATTGGTCAATCAGGTGTTTAGTAATTTAAAACTAACAACTACACTTCTGATAAAAAAAAATACATATAAAAGTGATTACACACATAGTCTACTCTTTCCAAGAATTTGTTTAAACATCAGACAATAACATCATATATACTACCCTGTACCCTGGTAATTAATCATGACCATCTGTCTACAAACCTAATTCCTTGACACTGGGTAGGGCAAACTTCTCGTCAAAGTTGTCATTCACCGGCATATTGACATTACTTAGTTCAGGGGCAGGTACATGGCGTTCAGGGGGCCCAAGCAAGGAGGTGGTCAGTTGAAAATGAGTGAAAGTAACAGGAGGGGTACCGCCATTCTTCTCTATTACACTGAAACACAAAGTATTATTACTTTACCATATTTCACAATTTTTTCACACTATAGGTAAGTGTTTCCCTACCTCTTACAAACTGTATAGAACCTTTTCATGCAAAATTTCACAGAGCCATTCATTCATCTCTGTACTTATACAAAAAACTACCTAGGAGACCCAAGTTATTTGTTGGCCTGAACTTGTAGCAGGATAAACATGGCACATAACTTACAACAAGACATCCAAAAGGGATCTTGCTCTTATTGAAAAGACGTTAGAACATTACTTTGCAGAAATAGCGATGATAAACTTAACCTGCCAAATCCAAAATGGTCGCCTGGAAGCCACTTTGTTTCTGCTAATCAGTTTCAAAATCAAATGAGCAGAAGAAGAGATCAAAGGGAACATACATAAGAAATTTGTCCCAAACTAAAACCAACACAACTAAGGACCTAAAGAAACCTAAAGATGAAATTTGAGAAAGACCTATAGAGTGGTTCTTAAGAAATAGTGAAAACAAACCTTTCAAAGACAAAATCCAAGATGACCAATCTGTCAGCCATTTTTTTAATGCAACTAAAATCAAATGAGAACAACTAAGGACCAAGAGGAACCTTTTAGAAAGATCCATCCAGTACTTCTCAAGAAATAGCTTTAACAATCTTTCAAAGGTCAAAGATGGCTGTCTTTCTGCCATATTATTTTCTTTTATCAGTTCCAAAATTACATGGGCACAACTAGAGACCAATGGAACCTACATATGAAACTTTAGAGAGATCCATTCCCTAGTTTTCAAGAAATAGCGATAAAAATCTTTGTTAAAAAAAAATCAAGATGGCTGTCGGCCATTTTGTCATTTTTACTAATCCAGAAATCAAATGGGCACAACTAGAGACCAGGGGGAATCTAGATATGCAATTTGAGAAAGATCCATCCAGTGCTTCTCAAGAAATAGCGATAACAAATATTGTTTAAGGACAGACGGAGAGAAGGATGGATCAACCACGAACCACTGACCATGGACCATGGACATAGAACAAATAGCCCACCAAAAAAATAGCATTACTCAGTGAAGAAACCATATCCAGCTGAGGTCCCTGGTGGGTAAATTATTATGAACTGCAAGGAAAGAGGCCTAAGGCCTTAGACATATGGTTACCTGAGATTCATAGAAAATGTCATTTTTCACTGTTGTTACATATTGCATAGGAAACAAAAATAATTTTTTGAGCTTCGTGTACGAAGTACAAGTAATGCAACTTTAAAAAGTACCATCTAACTGCCATCCAATACTAATAATTCTAACTAAGTTTGATTCCTTCAAACAGAAATTAAACAAGTTATGCTCGAAACTTAAATTTTCCTATAATCAATGATAAACTTTATCCCATCCCCAGGGTGTAATATAAGACACAGGGGTCATGAAATTCACAATTTAAAAAATTTAAAACATTCTTAAGACCCTTCCATTCATGGTGAGTATTTGACGCTACCCTACCTGAATCATAAAATGTTTTTGAAAGTTTTTTTGTCAATTTGCCCCGTTTAAACCTATCTATAAGCACCTTGTGGTCAGCCAGTGTCGATATGTGCATAATGTTTCAACCTGTCACCCAATATTTCACCAATGCAAGGCAATGCAAGCAATACCAACCCCCTTGCAGTTTTTCTTTGTCTTAAACAATGTGCAAGAAAGAAAATGGACAAGTATGTATAAAATGAAGCCACCATGTGTTGACAAAGATTTTCCAAATACATTATGTGTAGTGTCATATGACCTTGACCTTAATACTAGAACACTGAAACTTAAGTCCTTTAAATGAATGTGAAATTAGATAAAAATTCCTCAAGGAATGAACAGATAGAGTGCTTTACTTTCAACGGCTTACAGTCAATTTCTGACAACTTGAATGCCTATTCTTCCAGCATGCTTCTGCCTGATTTTAAACTCATGAACAGCTGTGACCTTGAAAGTGGGTCAAGGCAAATCATTAGAACAGACTTGGATGTAATTCACCCCAGCATGCTACAGGCCCAACATCAGTAAAGTGGACCTTTTGGTTATTGAGAAAAAAGTCCTTTGAAGAGAAAAGTTGATGCTATAAGAAGGATGCTGCACAATGGCAAAAGGGCAGATCAGCTACAAATTGATGCTTACTCAGAGGGGTTCCATAAGGTATGAGATACCCTAGAGATCAGTTCTATACCCTTTTCCTGACACAGTTTCTCCACTTCCTCATCACGTGCCTCCCAGATTGGCTCTACCTCTGCCTCATATGTCAAACGTGTCACATTCCACTCCTGCCACAGGCAAGACAAACTGATATTAGTGCATTATAGCTTTGAAATTATTTCATCTGAACACTCAAGTTTTCAATGCAAAATATAGATATTAAAAATGAATCTATTTTCCCACTTAATTTCCAGTAAATTTCAGTGAATATGGTTGAAAAACACTGAACAACCAAAATTGAACCAACATCTCTCCCTAGGTTCCTCAATACCAAGTATGGAAAAGGGGAAAGGGGGTCAGAATGTGTTAAAATGTATAAGATATTGCACAACAATGCTTTACTTTCATTCCTCATGCCAGGTACGGTAATAAGCCCACCCATATCTATAAATATCTAAAAGAATTACAAACAATGCCATTTCTTTGTTCCACAATAAGCCAGCTCTTTTAACTTTGATTAAGAATTTTTACATGCCTGACCATGCACCTTAAGCGGAATGAAAATGGCAACGCTCCACACCCTACATTTGACCAAGACATTTAGAAAGGTATGCAAAGGGAAACATTTCAATTATTTACCAACATTTTACCTATTTAACCCCAGACCTCTGTATTCATGGTGGATGACCCTTAGATTTGCCCACTGGACACTAAGTAATGTTAATTTGCCATAAATGACCCAGAATTCATATCAATTAATATTTTCAGATAAATTGCTGTTGAACAAAAGCTCAGTTATCCCCATACAATAACATTAATCTTATCCTTTTTAATGAACAAAAAATGCAATTTCTCAGATTTCATAACAAGGAGCCATGAGACAGAGTCAAAGTGACATCCTATCTCCCATCCATAGCTTTGTTGTACAGGAACGTATCCTAACATTTTTGTATTCAAATTTGACTCAAGGTAGTATTTCTTCAACAAATTGCAACAGAAATTTTATCATATTTTCTACTCAGTGTAAATACAAAAAAAAAGTATTAAGCCCTTAAACATCTTTAACTGAAATGTGAAAATAAACTGCCAATTATACCTGTCCATCCTTCCCATCTCAAATGAAATTCTTTAAATTTTTACCATAAATGCACTTTTTTGGGCCTTAAAATTTTGAAAGTCTAGTTTCTTCCATTAAAAATTCAAAATATGGTTAGAATAATACATAAAACAAATTAATTTTTTTCTTACAGAAAACAAGCCTTCCAACACATCTCTTGCTTTCCCTTGAAATGTATACAAACGGCCACCATTCTTTTTAAAAGTATTGTCCAGATCTTCAAGGCTTTCATGCAAAAATCGCATTCGATTGAATCCAGCAAATTTTGTTCCTGAAAAGGAGAAAGTTAAAGAGTGAGAAGCAACAAAGCTACACATGAACAGATGTAGGTTAAAAGTAGCAATTGAAAGCAAACTACCAAGTAGAAAAGGAGAAGAACATTATATTTTTACCAAAGATATGCACTTAAATGTTTCTATGTTTGAGAGGCAACAACTACCTAAATCATACTGTCAAGGACTTAATGCAAAAAAATTAGCATTCATACAGAAATTGTATCTTTTTTTCTGAATTTCAGTGCTTAGAACTCCTCAGATAACATATGCATGTAGTACATATATGTACAAGAACAGGGTTTTGAATAGTATTTAGTAGTGAATCATACATACCTGCAACTTCTCCATCAAAAATAAATATTGGATAAAACTCATCACAGTTTTCTAATGCATCACACAAAGCTGGGTTGTCATGTATTCGTAGTCCATTTCGGAACCAATGGATAGTAACAGTGCTTGGTTTTTGTGAGGGTTTATCCATTCTATTTAATCTGGAAAATAAACCCTTCATTTCAGATTTGTATATAAGTTATTGGTTGTTGACAACTTGTTATATTTTCTTCATAGATGTTAACGATTTTAACCATTTCAAAACAATCTCCAATGAGAGAAAATTCTCAAAATCTAGGTTAAAATGGATCCCTTAAACCTATGGTACACAGATCAGAGCCTTCTTAAAATAAACAAGAGATCCAAGAGGGCTCTTGGTACCCACCATTATTTTATCTGTATTTGTTCTTTAACAGTTGGATATTTTCATTTCTTTTCTCTTCTTTCCTCTGTTCTTTATCTTATTTCTGAGAATTTCTGAGTAAAAATAGTTCAGGAATGGAAAATTATAAGGATGCTCAGGATCAAGTGTTTAATAAACATCCCAAATGTTGCCCATTTTTACCTGTGTAACTATACAGCTAGTGCACTAAACAATACACAGGTACTGTATAGGTAAGGTTAGGAATGGAGACACAAAATTATTGAATATTAATGATTACATGCTGCTATCATCATTTGCCACAATGTCTTCAAGTGATCATGAAAGTTTATTTCTTACACAGAGGAGTTATTGCTCAAGACCTTGCCCTTCATACAAGCATTCTCCTAGCTCAACATCAGCACTCTGGATCTATTGGTTATTGCGAAGAATCTGTTTAAATATTTGGACATATTTGACCCTGTGACTTTGAAAGTGGGTCAAGGTCATTCATTTTAACAAACTTGGAAGCCCTTCATCCCAGCATGCTACAGACCCAATATCAGCACGTCGGTCTTTTTGTCGAAAATATTATTTATTAACGACGTACAACATACAACGCCGGATAAGAGGCGATCACAATAACTCACTCACAATAGTCCAACACATATTTCCCGAAACACGTGCATGTGCACCAAACTCTTGACAAGATCAATTTTACTATGTCAATGAAGCTCTGTATAATATATGATATTATTTGTTTATGTTTTCTCAGTCTTGGTCATGTAAAAGTAAAACCTGTGCAAAGTGGTGACCTCACATAGATTGTTTAAAATTTGACTCATGGACTTTTTTTCTAAGGTAAATAGCAGGACATAGTACAGTTTATTATGCAGGAGCTTATGCCAGCACTCTGGATAAACAAGATAGGGTTTGCCATAGTTATTCATTTGTTGATATGTGGTGTGTTTTTTCTTCCAGAATGCATGGCTTAAGATGTGTAAATTGTAATGTAAATAAATGTTCATTTCTGTTATATGGCTAATATTGTATCTGTTTGTCATAACTATGTGTTAAACATCCATTTCCAGGTTATTCAGTCACTCAGGAGTAAAAAATGGAAGCAAGTAAAATGTTCTCATGTTTGCATTGCAACAACATTGAAATAATGATAACCGGTTTGACAGGCTGCAGGCCTTTTATACCCTTGAATGCCACTACCTCAGATACAATGGCCGGAAGATATCATAAGCATCGAGGGGAGGTCTCAGAAGCAATCTAAAAACAACCTTTTTTTTTATCAGAAACAAGTAATTTTTTTAACTTGCATTGTGAGCTTTAACAGAGGCTCACCCGTTTTGTCAGCATAGCAGACTTAAATACAGATTAATATCTATATCAAAGTCTGTGCAAGTGCATAAAAATGTCTAAAACACTCTTAAACAAGTTAAGAAAGAGACTGTTTCTTAACAAACCACTTCACTATAAAATCAACTAGTTATTTACATGATCACGGGTCATAGTATTAACCATCTATCGATATATAAATGATTTCCAACAATTAATCCCATATTTTCCAATATCAATACTCAATGAAAACCAATATCGTAGGTTTCCGGGAAAAGTATCACCACCTCACTAGGTTTTTATATCATTTCCATAACTTACTTCGATGTATGTTCATCTATGTATCTATAGAATATGTGTCTACATGTTATATCCTTGGTCTAAGTATATGTTCGTGTTAAAAAACATGTTTCAACATCCATGACTAGCACACTTCTTTTTAGGCAAGTGGACAATTCTAAAGCATCCTTTAAATGATATAATAATGAACAGATTTACTCGAAGTCTGTGATATTATTGATAATTACGAATATCTGAACATTATTTAGCAGTCGATGTTTGAATTATATTGAAGAGTTACAATTGTTCCAATCCAACTCTGTATATTGTTATGTATAAAATATTGATTATAAAATAAATATTTTGTCGTATCTTATTGGAGAATATTAATGCAGAGACACATGATAATGAAAGTTCATAACCCTTATCTGGAACCAAACGGTGTATGTAAGATGAGCTCTGATTGGTTGAAACCTATCTGCTCCCAATTTCAACCTAGTGAGAATTTTTCATGACACTTTGTAACGTAAAGCACCGATTGGCTGATAGAGACTACATGACTGAGCCTCTATCCAGAAAATGTGGCAGGATACATCAAAGGTACTGACAGAGTGAAACAAATGGCAGTAAATATGGGAGATCCGAATGGCTACCTATAGTGTTATTCACTCACTGTAGCATTTGCAGATAAACATACCTTTGATATTGATTCAAGCCAAAGGTATGACCTTTCCGTGTCAAAGGTTTTTTTTATATATATATATAACCCGCACTGATTGTGAATTGTGTGGTGGAAGCAAGTGTAATATAAGTTGTTTAATACTAATTAAGGAAATTCCATGACTCTCCACTGGAACATTTGGATAAAATTTGCAACGACCATATTCAACCATCTCACTACTCATCTTCATCAAAGTATACATATCGCTCAATTTTATGATCCAGACATAGGTTCCAGACCATTATGTATTTCGGAACGGCCATTACTTGAACTATTGACCTGCTTAACCTCGCATCTGTATCATTTTGGTTGCTGTAACATGTCACACTTCCAGAAGAAAGAAAATTTGTGATTAAAACCATTCACCATATGATTTTTGAGTATATCTATTTTTTTGGCTAAATTGTGTTATTTTCCTTAATACACATTTTTACATGTTAAACAGCCTCACAGATATGATAAAATAACCCACAGTATATCCTCAGATGTCAATGTTATGTTGCTGTCCGCCACATGACTAAAATTTGACCATGAATAACAGGCTAGCCTTCCTGCAATTTTTTAGCCTTGGAAGTCCTAACATGCTCATCCTATATTTGAAAAAATGTTGATTTCTGAAATATCACTCGGATGACTCGTTTCTAATTTTTATTTACCAGTGAGTTGTAGGCTGAGAGAGGAAAAATTAACTGTATTTCATAGCTTTTGTTGTAAAAAAGAACTTTACCAAGAAAAGCGGCTAATTTGAAAATAAGGGACCAAGCAATAAAACCTTAAATCTAACCACTTAGTAAAAGTAAACACATCAACATGGAAATCCACAACTTTCGTATCATGAAATTATTTTGATTGTTATTCTTATCAAAACGTCATTCTCATTCAAATGACGGCTTTATGTAATGCATTCGTACTCCTATGTCACTGTAAGCTAACATAAGCCTCTCGATGATTTAGTGATGTCATCAGAAACTGAAGTTGATACACAGTTAGATCGTTTCAGGTGAGCAGTGGCAATTTTGTCAATGTAGCGTAGCTAGTGTGAAATGATTCTTAGGGGGTCCGAAACTAATGCGCCAAGGATATTACATATGCGCAATATGCGTAACAGTTATACAGAGAATACATGGTCAGAGTCTTTAATTATAAGCTGTATTGTGGCGAAGGTGAAGAAAGACAAAAATATTCAGAAAATATTTCTGTCGAATTACGGCAATTTTGAAATACAGCAGTTTTCCGTCACTGCCGAATACAACAAAAATATATGTGGGAGGTATATTCTGGCAATGGCAGTGCCTGTTGCAAGATAAACCTATAGCCAAAAACAGGTAGTATAAATCCCCTCGTTAATTCGAAAGTAAATTTATATTAAGGTGTATTTTAATGCAGTGTATGTGATTCAACTTCATGCAGTGAACAACTCACCTGCTGTATCTTGTGTATTAAGCGCCTGCAATGGAAACAGCTAGCTGACAGCCGTCAGAAAAACATTCACCACCTACATAATCACAACATTAACAGGAAAGATTTACGCTGCCTGTGACGGATCCTGTTCATAACGACTGGTAGCTCCGGTTACGAACTGATTTAATACATGTTATTGACTGATATACAAGTCATTGTTCGCACAATGCGATTTTATTGATCGACTGCAACCAAGATAACAATGAAATGGCGGATATAAATTGTCTGCACTATGCAAGACACCAAATCTGAACCGGTATGCTTATACGCCCTCTGCGCGAATTCTAATCTGAAAAAGGACTGCTGAGAGCATAGAAGTCCTTATGACAAAATCGTAACGCTTCGATAACCACAATGTCATTTTTATCAGATATAACCAGTGTGAAGCGTAATAACACTAGGTGTGCAGTATACTGCAGTTTGCAGGTGATTTAGCTTTGCTTTGTTTAATACTTCAGCTTGGTTATGGCATTCTAGATGAGCAGTAGTTTGTGTCTTACCCCCACACTCACCCTCGTCCCTGTTAAGTACTGGGCTCTTTGACCAGCTGACTGAAAAGAATGTTCTCTCTGTTTGCTGTATGAATTATTCTTTTTGAATTATTTGTTGATCTGGGAGTGAGATTTTGCCTTCTTGGGCTTCTGTTTTCTTTTTCTTTTTTTTTTGTTGAAAATCTGATGTTTATTAAGTCGGACGATTTCTTATAGATTCTGAGGCGTTCTCTTTGGGTGTTTATCCTTTGGATTGACCGGGTCGATAATTCGGAATGTCTTGTGTGGCATCATGGCTGTTGCAATACCAAGACCACGGTAAATCCTCTGAATATTTACAGACTGGCCTTTGATGAAAGGGATGACTACCTGTCCCTTCATTTCTTTTCTTTTGGTGTTGTCGTCTCTTGGTATTTTCTTTGCTTTTCTCGTATTCGTTTACTATCCGGGTCGTCCAATCAGGTCATCCAGATGACATGCTTTCATGGTGATCCGGATGCGATTTATTGTCTCTTGTCATGTTCTTCTGTTACAACAGGCTCCCATCTGTAGAGCAAAGTTCGGACGACGCCCAACTTCTGATGGGGGTGATCTGTGCGATCGGATGTACAGGTATTGGTCCGTGGCGTTTTTTCCTAAAGACAGTTTAGTACCGTCATTTTTTTTTACCGGAAGGTTGTCGAGGAATGGCAAAGTGCTATTGATGTCTTCCTCACAATTGAATTTTGTGCTATTCGTTGTGTCTACGGTGTTGAATGCGCAGTCAATCCTCATGTGATCTTTTTTTTATTATTTCCAATATGACATCAGAAGTTGAAAAAAAATGTTCGATTCCTTACGATCTTGTCCACTACATATGTCCGTGTTAGTATGCTTCATAGTGGTCATTTGTCCAATGAAGGTGACAGTGAAGTCATCGAAACGTCACACTTAAATCTTCTACTGGATGTGTTATGAGAACTTCTATTCTATTGACATTACCAGCTTGAAGAAAATGAAACATACCGAGTACATGGTTTGCTAGAATGCCGAACACATCTCCTGTTTTCGCGTTCTCGTCTGCTTTTAGCTCGTGCTAATTACGAACTCCATCTGGGGTAGTTCATTCTGTCAAAAGGCTTCGTACCTAGTAGGCGACCAAAATTGATCTTTTATTCATAATCCATTTGTAGACTGCAGTGCGCACGTGTTTTTCAACAACGGAATGAACGTTGTTAAAAATCTTCGAAATATCATGCATGGAACTCACAAGTAATAAAAAAAAATGTTCTCCATAACTACCCCATAATGTGAACGTCCTTGTCGCACATACACTGGACGATATCAGATGCAGTTTTAACATCTTAGGGATTACTCGTACATAAAACTAAGGCAATTATCTTAGCTACTCTCCAAACCACGCAAAATCACTGAACTATTTACGAAAAATAAAGACTATATAAAGTTCAACAATCGATTTTTTTCAGGTTTTTTTCTTGGAACCAATCTAATTCATTCGTTTGGACCTTTAATCTTGCCACGAGATGTTCCAATGGTGCAGAGAAGGAAAGTGATCGTAACCCCTGAAGTATCGAGTAAGATTCGGCATTGACTCGGCATTGTTTTAAGAAAATAAAACCAATAATCAATGAATGCCTCTCCACCATTTAAAAATGGGGAGGTAATCAAACCAATTAACTATTTGTTTAAATTGAAATGCAAACTAACGGAAGCAGTACATGTTTTTAAAAACGAAATGACGAAAAGAGGTAAGTAAATTGATCCACAGTAAACATTTCCGTAGACCCCCCAAAAAAAACGAACCATCACGTTACGTTGCAACACTATAAAGCTAGAGCACACGTGCACGTTAAACACGTGGTGACTATTTACGTTCTTGACAGATTGATCATTCGCCCAGAGAAAAGAAATATCTGATATGTCAATCCATCATTTTGGACTGAATTATAACACGAGTATAAGTGCCCTTGGAACTAGTGTCCAAGAGATTTTCATGTCTGTCATAGAAGTCGTTGGTAATTGCTTCGTGGCAGAACTCCCTACACCATCGCGAGAGTAATGCACAATGGACACAGATACACAGTATACAGATTTCTATAGACCTTTGGACACGACATTGTCGCAACTAAAGCACGTGTTTTCAACAGAAAATAGATACGTCTTTTTCTCCATGTACAATATATTAACACAACTGTACGCAGCATACTTGAAGGCATTCACACAAACACAACTAATCGATCTTAGTGTAGCTGATTTTTTTCACATCAAACACAACGTTTCGATCATTTTAGCTGATATTTATCTGACATCAAATACAAGTAATCGATCTTGTTTTAGCTACCTTTTTAAGCTCACCTGGTCCGAAGGACATCCGTCGTCCACACGTGCCAGTCCGTTTTTGTTTTTTTAGCAACTCCAAATTTGGTCATAAACATCGTTAGGGAAGCATAACAAACTTTGTATCAATGGTGGTTAACGGCTAACGAGTTTGAGAGGCGAGGCCCAAATGGGAAAATTTTGCAAGTTCTTTAAAAGGAACGTTCTGATTTTGCCCAAATTTGGTTTGAAACATTCTTTGACGAATGGGAATCAGCTTTGTACAAAGGGTGGGAATCCCTCGTCTCCTGTAGGAATGGCAAAACTTTGTCTCAATTTGGCCTGAAGCATGAATGGTTTGACCGACTCCCCATGGACAGAGAGTTGGGACCAATGGGAAAATAGATTTCTTTCACTTTCAGCCAATCAAACCCAGGTTGTCTACCATCAAACACAACTGTCCGATCTTGTTTTAGCTGTTTTTCATCGAACATTAAGATGAATTAATTTCTCTTCTGCTGATAAACGAGCGACAATCTCTATTGATTAAATCACCTGTTACCTCTGTGTATAAAACCATTGCCTAGTCTTTGTTAGCTAATAGTGGCGCATTTGGATTATTGTCACTAATCACAACTGTCGACTGCAGGTTAAAACTTGAAATAAACTTAAAATGAGACATTTTTCCAATGTTTGTTAAGAAGGGCTTGGATTTCGGACAACATCTTCTTGAAGTTTGTTCAATTTTTCGACCAAATGTCTGTAAAATGTACAGTGCTTGGACTCTTGTAAAACATACAGCTGTGTCCTCCAGCTCATGCGATATTCTTTCAGTTTTTTCGATTCTTTTGTTTTGTCCAAATCGTTTAGAACTTTATAGGTCTCCAACATGCTGTTTCTAAATCGTCTATATTCCAGTGTGGAGAGTCCGAGTGTTATCGGTCTATCTGGGTAGGACTGGTCCATAATGTTGTTCCTCTTTCGGTACTTTTAATCTTATCTTTTTTAATACTGGACGCCAAACTTGGGTTGCATATTCTAAATGAAGTCTTAGTAACCTTTTGTCCATAAAAATGAATGTCTGGAAAATAAGACCTAATGGTTTACCGACTTTGTTGGAGTTACTGGCATGCTGACTGAATTTCAGTTCATTGTTAAATGTGACACCAATGTTTTCCCCCTGAAGTAATTTTATCCACCAACTGATTTTTACTCCTTGTGCCCAGGATGTTTTTGCCTGCCCAGTTCTATCTATCATATGTCTACATTTCTTAATATTGATCGCCATTTTCCAGGTTTCCATCCTTGCGACCACACTATTCAAATAACATGTATTTAACGGATACTTTCTACTGAACGAGTTCTTATCTACAGTGGTTTAGAATTGTCTCCTAACAGCATGACGTATGCTGTTGTGTATTATATCAGAGAAGTCTTTTATGTAAATAAAAAACAAGACAGAACCTAACACACCTCCCCGTGGTACTCCGCCTGTAACGCCCACTGAACTTGATGGTTCTCCATTTATCATTACTCCTTGCTTTACATCATGTAGGTTATCTTTGATTCAATTATCTACCTACCGTACTCATGTAGCTTTGCTAGCAGGTGGCGGTGTGTGGTACATTGTCAAATGCCTTGTATAACCAGGTAGATTGTATCCATGTACTCTCCTTTAGCCACGCTCCAACCCAATGTTCAAACACTGTTGGTAAGTTTGCTGTGTACAATTTCAATGACCTGAAGCCGCATTGATAAAGAAATGGTCCTTTGATATATGTCTCACATCTCATTTTGAACCAATCTTAAAAGCTTTCCAGGGACTGGTGTTATTTAAACACTTACCGGTCTGTAGTTTTGTACTTTGCTGTGATTACCACACGAGGTGGATTCCGAAAAGAAACATTAAACATTATATCTTCATTTGAGGTGGGGAGGAGGGTTGGGGGGTTGACACACAACGTCAAACCATCCGAAATAATGGTGTTGGTATACATATTCGTCCCGTTTCTTCACACATGGAGAATTTGCTTCAATGCACGTGTTACAGAGTACGGATTGTTTGACATACTCTCTTGTGAGATACTTCGCGTTCATTGTTTCTAGCTATCAACTTGAGAAAATTCTGAAGCAAATTGTTACTGTTCTTGTTTTTTTAGTTTGATATAACTCTCTATCCACAGTTTCTTTAGATACATATGTAAATACATGGGTAAAAACTGAAATTGTCTTGTTCCCAAAAGCTGGCATACACATCAGTTTGATTACCTTGGTTTAGCATCCTCACAATGAATCGCAGAAGACAGAAAAGGTATCTAAGGAAGTCACAACAGAAAGTTATGTTGGCGCCTACATTTCACCTTCCCATGTTATAAAACAATTTAGGCCTTTAGTGTCACTGACCAGTCTTAGAAAGATAAGACAGAATAGGAAGCAATTTAATTCATTATTTGGTTCTACTGTATCTAAATCTAAGTTTGTATTGAAAAGTGCAATTCACTGATGCATCTTTTTTTTCCCTTAAATATTTCAGTCACCTAATGTGATCCATACAGATTTTTCCTATTGAGCATCTGAATAATTCAGATTCGCTAGTTTCTTAATATATGGACCTATCCTGATTTGTATAGACAAATCAGAACAAGTACATTCCTTATTTTGCTGGAACACAGATATTTCTAGAGATTTCTAGAATCCTTGGGTGAAAAGGTTTCAATTTTGAAGAAATGAAAAAAGTTAAACCCAAACCCTTTTGAGGGCAGGACGATGCTCAATAGGTGAAACAGAGGTAATCTTTTTTTGAAATCCTGGTTTGGATGAAACACATCATTAGAACTCCTTTTGTGTAAAAAGGTTGTCAGTCCCAACTTAGTAAAGTGGAGTTGGGTGTAAAAGTAGAAAGAGGTACATCTTAAAAATCCTTCTATTTGGTCATATCCATCCTTGGGAACTCAATATGGTATAAAACAAGATTCCATATTGCATGAATACATATTAGCAGGGTCCAAAAGAGGCAAATAACAATTATTCTGCCTTGATAACAGAGTTTTGACCAAATTGGTCTAGGGCATCCTGGGGTAAAGACGACTCAATTTTGTATACATGAATCATCAGTTTGGCCTTGCAGAAGAGGAGCAGGGCCAAAGAGGCCAAAACGTGAATCTTTAGCATTCTTCTTAAGTTGGGATGAAGGGAATTTCACATGTACAGTTACTTCCCAAAACGCCTGTTGGTATGCTGGGGTTAAGCTTCCAGATACATACATATACTGTGGATTACTACCAGAGAAGTAAGATACGCCCAACTCATGTCATATCCGAAATGATAAAATTCAGTTAAAGCAAATACCTTAATGAATTCAGTACAATGTTGTTTGCCTGGTTTTAAATTTGTTTTAAAGTAATATCAAAATAAATAATATCATAAGAAAGGTAGGGAGATAAAAGACCTCAAGCAAAAAAGAATCTAACCATAAACTTAAGTTAATATCAATTTTATATATAATTACTTCTTCTGTAGCTCAAGTTCTTTTAACTTGAGTTTTAATGGAAGTTTTTGATACAAGCACCAAATTCACACTTATCAAAGCAATGTTTTCTTTACCATAAAAAATATGTTAACACAATGGTTTGTTAAAACATCCCCAAAAAGTGGTTCAACTTGAATTTGTAATGGATACAAAAGACATAAAAACGGCTCAACTTTGATTATTAAACAAGGTCTCACTTCAAAATGATGATTTCTGAAACAATACGGACATACACACGATATTGAAACATTAAGTCAAATTACAATGAATCATTGCTGCATTATAGGAATAGCATTTAATTACAACTGCAGAAGAAACTAATTAGCTACTGTTATATTTGCATCAAAGATAAATAACTCTACTGGCAGATAACAAACTATGTAACTCTGATTATAAAATAGGACATCTACAAACAGAAACATGTAGCAACATACAATCAAAACAGGATATTCAAAGTGAACAGTAAAACTCAAAACAAGAAATAGTATCTAAATGCATATTAAACTACTGGTTTTCATCTCACAGATGTTTGAAGTAACATTTCTTTCTTTAAATATGCATTCATGAAATACTTGTATATTGTTTAAGGTAAAGAAAAAATTCATTTTTAGTGCAGAAATAAGAAACTAAGCCTGCTTTGTATCAGGACTTCCATAGATCTATGTGTTCATATAAAAATGATAAAATTAGTAACTAAAATATATATAATAAGCTCAGGTATCATGTATGACAGAATTTAAATGCAATATGAACATGAAAATATCAAGATTCCATTAAACAACAGAGATCAAGAATAGTTTCAGAATCCATTGGTTTATCAACCACTTAGATTATATAAATTACAAATGATTTAAGGTTAGTTTATTCTGGAGCTCAGTTTTTACAGGAAACACAATATTTCATTCTAGGTACAAAATGTTGCTTTCTTCACTAATTTTGGAAACAACTAAAAAGATATGGAATTTAGTGTCATTTCATAACTTGACATTTCATGATTTACGACCGGTTGTAAGCACTAATACAGCCAATTAACACAGAGAATGGACCAAGTCTGCCAGAATATGGTATGACTCCACCAGAACATGGTATGACTCCACTAGAGAATGGTCTGAGTCTACCAGAGAATGGTCGTGGTCCACCAGAAAAATGATATGGACTTTACAGTACATCATATATTACCCTTCATTAGAAGTTAAAAGAAAGATATCACTTGTTGCAAAAGCATATAACTACCACTACAGGTGGTTCATAAATCAAAATTGATTTTATTCATTTGGGTCCTATAAAATGTACAACGATAACTCAGTAGTTCCACACACAACTTAACAAAATATCTTAATTAACAAATGAACATGGGAGGAATTTTGTGAATTGAAAAATTTCTATATTAAGTTTCAGATACAGGTCAACATTGATGGGAAAGGATTTCAATTCAATGCAAGTTAACATTGATGAAAATTCCATTATATACCAACACTGATGATTAGGTTACAAATCAGGTAGCTTTGGATGAACAATCTCTAGTGTAGGTAGATATTTGTATACAGGTAAAATTCAAAATATGAATGGCAGTGTCTCATGTTGATGGGGACATAGATATCAAATTTTCAGCACAAACAAAATGGTGGTATCAAAGCTATAATAGAATAAAAAGGCACTCTGATGACAATTAACTTACTGTATTACTTTAAAATACTGTAAAGTCATTAATTTTTGTGGGGAATTTGTTTATAATTGATTTCTTGGGTACTCTTAAGCCAAAAATTATGTCATCAAAATGTTAAAATAAATGGAAGTTGATTCATCTCTGAAATCAAGTCACCATAAAATACTCAAAAAACCCAAAAAATAGAGCCCCACAAAAAATAATGATTTCACAGTACATCATGTAAATCTAATGAATATTATTATTTACAGACATGTTTTTAGACAATATGTATGTTTTTGAAATTATTAGTAACTAAAGGTATAAGATCATTTAAGTCTATGTACTTCATATTTCTAGCAAACACCATAAATATCTCAACATAAAAATGATGTTTAGAACAACCTATCTAATAATTTCAAACTGTATCAACAACAAATTTCATCATACTTTATATTATCCTCTGTGTAAATTCAAAATGTTTTTCTTGAAATTTTTACCCAGTTAAGAATTTTACCATTGCACACAGAAAAAACATCTTTAATTTACTATGCGAATGAACAAGAAGAGGAATTCCTATTAAACAAAAGTTGTTAATATTGAAGTACAAGTATCTGATATTGTTTTTTTTAAGTCTAGAAAGTGTTATAAAAATATAGTGTTAAACAATATGATACATGTGGTGTACTGGTTGTTATAAGACTTTTGCCTTCTTTTTATTTGAAGACAATTACCCTTTCAAACTTGAAACATTCTGACCACAATATGTTATCCACGATACAATTATATAGATATACTTTAAATGATAAGAGTTCCGATTAGAGACTTTCTAAACTATAGCTATTGCAATGCATCAATAATGAATCAGTCTAGCCTCCGTGTTTTCTTTTTGATAACATTTGTAATGACAATGGCAATTTCCTTCATGATAATACAGAAAATGCACATCCTGACAAATGACGTCTACATTAGCTCTGCAACCTTTTCCTGAATTCAGTTTCCAATTTTCTGGCATCAGCTGCAAATTTTCGGATGCCTTCTGCAAGTTTTTCTGTTGCCATGGCATCCTCATTCATTTCAAAGCGGAAAATTTTCTCGTCCACTTCTACTCTCTCCAGATCTTGTAAGTTTGCTGTTAAATAGAAAAATCATTCTCAAATTACACAAACATGAATTGTTCAATAACAAGGCCAATCTTCCATGCAACAACAATATTACACCACCTGAATAAAAGTATTGAATGTTACTTTGCAATGTAATAAATTTTTAATAATTTTTAGATGAAACAAGCCAATTAATTTGTGTTAAACTGATTTTCTCTAGTGTATGGTTAAAGTTTAAAGTAGAGTAAAGAAGACAATACTGAAATTATTAAAAGGCGACTAATATTACACACACACTCCAAGGACTGTTCCAAAAACTTTGACTTAAGTCATATTCTTAACAATGCTGTTATATAATTTGTTTGAAGAGTATTTGTTATGTACATCAATGTCATGAAGGATAAGTTTTTTTTTTAAAATGTGGAATCATGGCTTCTACCCTTCATACAGAGCTACGCGAGACAAGCCCAAATTAGAAAACTCATTATATCTTTTAGGATTATAAGACTCATCAGAATTTGAAGAAATTGGTGTTCTAAAATTGACTGAAAATACCCTATAATCTATAATCTAGTTCCAACAAAAGCAAATCACATTGTGGGGCATTCCAAGCTTTATTGACAGAGACAACCAGAGTTATTATAAACATTGATGCTTTGAGTGAGTTTGTACATATTTACAGAATAGGGTTAAGGTTTAACTGTACCTTTCTTTTCTGAAAGCTGCTGAACCACCTCCTCAGATGTGTCAGCAAGCTTCTGTAGTAAGGATGGCCTGAAATAAAATGGAAAATACAATAATACTAGAAATTGTCTGTAAGACCTGAATACCCTAAATTCTCATACATACAAGTATCGTTGATTGATGCCTTTACAGAAGATGTGAAATGAAACTTTTGACATTTCAACCTTGACCAATGACCACTTTTAATGGGTAAATACGAAATCTCAAGATATATCATTGATTCTGAAGTCAACTGGAACAGGACAAAATGGACAAACATGGGCAACATCATATGCATCCATCCCTATAATAAGAGGCCCATAGGGCCTGTAGCAATTACTTGGTCATTTGCTCAATCATTCATGATTAATGCAATTAATAGGAAAAGTTGACTAATGGACCGATGAATACCGCAATATGCCATAGGCTCCCCTGACTCTTTCTTGCCAGGTCAGCTAAAAAAGGCATGATAAGACAATAGGATGAATTTAAATTCAAACTGTAAAACATCCCTTTTGTATTAAATGTTAAAGTTCACTGAAGAAAATATTACTGTTTGGCCACCATTAAGAGAGAATGTAACACAGCACAAAGACCAGATGTATTTTCTAATTAAAGAAATATTTGAACAGCATTTGATTCTACCATTGCTTTTTGAAGAGCCAGTTTGACTCATTTTGGCCTCTCAGACCCTTGGGGTCAGCCGGGATCAATATGTGCAAAACATCAACTCATCATCCTACACTAATAATTCTAACCAAGCTTGAAATATCTTGAAAGGAAATTAAACAAGTTATGCTCAAAATTGTCATTTTTCTTACATGTATAAACTTTGGTAAACTTTACCTCCTCTACTGAGGAAATGCAAGATGGAAGGGCCAAGAAATCCACAATTTTGTTAAAAGCACTTTAAAACCCTTCAATACACAACGAGCATTTGATTGTACCATATATTTAGGTATTAAGAAGAAGATTTTTGAAAATTTTGCTAATATGATGGTATGTTTGATATTAAGCATGAGTCTCTCGGCGTTTTTTCCCAATAAAACTAACTCAGATAACCAATGTCTACTTGAGTAAATGTACATATACATAGGCCTAATTATCAACATTACCATCCAAATATTCCAATATCATTTTAATACATTGAACAAATATTTGAATAACAAACCTGCTATTTGTTTCAGCTCTATCAAACACATTTGTTAGAGCTATCTATTACACATAGTGATCATAATGTCTTTATACATACGAAATAGTAAGTAGATCACAGCCAGCAAGCCCCTTGATTTGATCAGTGTTACGGAAGGAAGCTCCCATCACCACTGTCTTGTAACCAAACTTCTTGTAGTAGTTGTAAATCTTTGTCACACTTTTCACACCTAAAAACAGAAACAAATCGTTTACAAAATGCACTTACAATGTCACTAACAACAGAATGCAGAGATTTATCTAGACAAACTGACTAAAATAAAGCATTCCAGCAATGAGGTGCATTGAATGATAGTTTGGTATAAAATCTGAGATGGCAGCTAGAACATTAAAAAATGGTTATTGGCTGTGACAAAGTAGAAAATGAAACTTGCAACATGTAATTTGAAATTGGATTTTTGAAGGAACAAATATAATTTCCTTAATTCAAATTAAACTTCCTCTTATTTTTATTTAAATCTTTTATTTATTTACATAATTTTATCATGCACAGACAGAGTATGATGTATTATTACTAACTGTGCATAAGCTTAAACAAGAAACAGCTTAGAAATCAAAACAAAAGTTAGAAAATAACTACAAGTGTATGTCAAACATAGATTTAAACCTGCGACCGCAAATCTCCAGAACCACTTCAATAGCAGCCCATGAGCCAGTTCTATCAACTCCTTCTAGGAAGCAGGCTATTGTTCCAAGAAAAACCATAATCTTACCTGGGTCCTCAAGCATCGTATATGACTTTTGGTCAGTATTCTTGACAAACCAGTCGAAGATACGACCAACAAACGGCGAGATCAAAGTTACGTTTGCCTCTGCACATGCAACTGCCTGTTGGGAAAATATAAGCAAATACATATAACATATTACATGTTCAACATATTATGTATGGTCAAAGGGTAAGAGAGATAACTCTTCTATCTTTATATAAATTAATAAAGGGAAACAACTCTTGCATTTTTACAAGTATCTAAAACTACACAAGCTCACCGAATTTCAGAGACACTGGGTAGACAAGATTAGCTATTCTTTCTGTATGTAATATACTGATCTATCAATACAGGCATATAGGTATCAAAAGCTTGTGAAATTTATTTTAATCATTTAAAATTGTATACATGGTCCTAGGACACTAACCTATTAAATAAACAGGTGTGTCTGACATCTTAAGATAAACACAATGGAAGGCTAAGGTATCTAGTGCAAACATGTAGCAGAAATTGTGATGTCCCACAAACAAAGTGCACATATGTACTAAATACCAACAAATTCATTTGAAAAGTAGTGTGACATCATATTTCAATGAAGTTGATTTATCACAATAAAGATTATTATAATGATTTTGCATATCAGAATTGGGTAAAACAATCAGAATTATAATTTACAATGAAGAATACTTTTTTCTCCTTATTAACACTGACAAGACTTACCTGATGGAAGTTGAACAATAAAGTCATATTACAATGGATACCATATTCCTTCTCCAAAACCCTGCAAAATAGAGAATCAAACATCAAGAAACAAGAGGCTTAGTGGTCTTGATGGTCAAGTGAGATCAGCAATATTGATTTAAGCAATGATGACTATAAAGGTTAAAGGGAAAGTAGCTTTCAAGTATCATGGAAAAGAAATAGTGACATTGATGATAGAAAGCCAGTGTCAATAGCTGCTTACCATCAAAACTGTCATCCTTTATCAATAATTCTTACAAAGTTATTTCCAGTGGGAAATAAACAATGTTATGCTCAAAAATTCAATTTTTCTATAAAAATTATAGTAAATTTAACTTCCTCACCAGAAAGAAATGTGAGACCCATTTTGGTACTTAAAGCACCTTAAGAAGTTTCCATCTGTGAAGAGCATTTGATTCTTCCATACCTGGGTTTTGAGAAGAGTTTTTAAAATTTAAGTCAATGTAACCCCTTTTGGCACTGCCCATTTGCCCCTGGGGTTCAGATAGGATCAATGTGGGCATACCATCAAGCTGTCATCCTTCGCTCATAATTCTTACCATGTTTGAAATGTTTCCAATGGAAATTGAACAAATTATGCTCAAAAACCTACTAATCCTACATAAACTAAAGTAAACTTTACCCCCTCCCCATGGGAAACTGAAGATCCTGGGGCCATGAAATTCAAAATTTTGGTAAAGCACCTTAAGATGCTTCCATCCATGAAGAGTATTTGTTTCTACCATAGCTGGGTGTTGAGAAGAAGATTTTTGAAATCCAAGTCAGTTTGCTCCCTTTTGGCCTCATCCCTCAGGTTCTGTGGGGTGGGGACCCTATAATTCACTATTTTGGTTCATGTTAGGCCAGGGAAGCTTTCTGTAAAATTTCACCAAGTTTTTGAGAAGAAGTTGAAAATGTCAAACTGTTTACGGACACATGCCGGTGGAGGTGATTGCACTATATGACTTTGTCTCAGGTGACCAAACAATGCAAATCTAATAACAAAATTTATAATGTTCTTATTAGGCTATGTATCAACCATCTTTTCATCCTTTTTTATTACCATTGTAACTAATGGAATTTTTAAACTATTTTGAATGTTAATGACAAAAGTTGTTGAAGACATGAATACTATGTACATCTCAGTATCAATCTAAATAGAAAAGTTCAACATCTTATTAAAATGTTGCTAAGGATGACAACAGAAAAGGAATACCACAGTCTCACTTTTTTAATTTTCATTGCATGTAAGAAACTACTATGACTATCGTTAGATAAATGCTGACCTGGCTGCCTCCACTCCTTCCCATGTAGATGAAAGTTTGATGAGAATCCTGTCTTTGCCAATACCTTGTTCCTGATATAAATCTATCAGTTTCAGTGCCTTTTCAATCATGGCATCTTTATCAAATGACATTCTGCAAATGAATTTACATTCTTACTTTCAAATTACTACCACACATACATATATGTTCTTTAAGCTTAATTAAATGTTATCAGGTAGTTCCCAATCAAGGAAAAATTGATTATTGTTGTTGTTAAATATAGCCTTTTATTTTTTTGTGATTTTTTTTTATTTAAAACTATATTGTTACTAATAATATTCATAATCATTTGAGTGGGTTGCAGTACTAAAGCCCAAGTTATTTACCTTGCATCCACCTCTGTTGAGACACGGCCTGGAATAATCTTCAGAATTTCACATCCAAATTTAACGTAAACATCATCAACTGCATTTGTTACTTGTTCCTCAACTGATCTAAAGATTCCAGAATACACAAGATATGGAATAGTAGTAAATCAAGCATGTCAATACAGAAATTTATCAACAGTTTATACAATAGAGATCAATATTATCAGTCTCCTTTCACCTTTTAACTAAAGGTCAGCTGATCTTAGTGACATTAAATAATGAATTACATCAATTAATTAGATCAATCAATTAATATATTCTTATCAACATACTGAAGATTAAACAGTGATTTTGGTGTCAATTTCATCAAACTCTCACAAAATGTGGTAATCAATCTACAATTTATTTTCATGAGTCATTTACAATTTTATTTCAAAAACAATTCGCTCCAGAATGCAATATTTAAAATTTCCAGAAATAATGTGTGAAGTCCATCAAAATTCTATGAATTCAGGACTCTGGACTCCACATAGATTCATTACTGATGATGTATTGACTTCCAGTAATATTTTTATTTTTTGCAAATTTCAAACAAATACTATTTCTTTTAATATAAGGAAATCTTCACTATTAACTAATCAAGCTATGAGTATTTAACATAAATACCCTCCCATGTTCCTGGCATTTTCTAATGCCTCTTCAACAAGATCTTGATATGCATCCATTTGTGAGGCCGCATAAATGAGGGATGGGTTTGTGGTGGCATCTGTTGGCTTGTATTTTCCAATGGCTGAAAGTGATATCATGATTATTACAGATTGTGTAAAGGTAAATACTAGCTATAATATACATGATAGAGAAATTGTCTTTAGCTTGGTCCAATTGTGCGTAAGACTAGTAAGCCAGAGGTCGCAGGTTTGAATCCTACCACAGGCATGGAAATAAACAAGAGGCCTATAGGGCCTGCATGGTTTGCCTTGCTTAGCTTGGCGGAAATTACTTATCAAAACTAAAGGAAAAAGTATTCTAATTATCAAAGCACACAATTCAAAACATATCAATTTTGCTATTGGACCCATTCTCTCTGTTCTTAAGAGGTCAGCCAAACCATTTATACTTCAGTCTCAATCATTCTTACAGGAGAAGTAGTATAAAAAAGAACTTGTCATATTGCCAATATTGGGCCACATCTCTTCGGCCCAAAGAGGCCAAGACCAACCATTTCTGATCAAATTTTGGCAAAATCCAATCATTGCTACAGGAGAATAGGATTTTACAGAATTTGCTCTACCTACCCTAATGGGCCCAGCCCTAGGGGGCGGAGACCCACCATTTATACAGTAGGCTAAAGGCCCAATTTCATTTCCATTGGCCTTCTTCTTACCGAAAAGAAGTTGTTTGAAGATTTTTTAAAGACATTTGACCCCTGTGACCTTGAAAGTGGGTCAAGGTCATTCATTTGAACAAACTTGGTAGCACTTCATCCTAGCATGCCACAGGTCCAGTATTAGTACTCTGGTCCTTTCAGTTAATGGGAAGAAGTTGTTAGAAGATTTCAATATGTTAGACCTATGTGACCTTGAAACCTTGAAAGTGGGTCGAGTTCATTCATTTGAACACACATTGTAGCCCTTTATCCCAGCAAGCTACAGGCCTAATATCAGTACCCTGGGCCTTTTGGTTATTAAGAAGAAATTCTTTCAAGATTTTACCCCTGTGACCTTGAAAATGGGTTAAGGTCATCCATTTGAACGATTTTGGTATTCCTTTTTCCCCAGTATGCTAAAGGCCAAATATCATTACCATCGGCATTTCCCCTGCTGAGAATTTGTTTGTGGATGTCTTAACACATTTAACCCTTATGACCTGAAATTGGGTCAAGGCCATTCATTTGAACAAAACTTGGTAGCACTTCATCCTAGCATGCCACAGGTCCAGTATTAGTACTCTGGTCCTTTCAGTTAATGGGAAGAAGTTGTTTGAATATTTCAATATGTTAGACCTATGTGACCTTGAAAGTGTCCCAGCATGTTACAGTCCTAATATCAGTTTTCTTTCTATTATTAAGAAGTTGATGCCTGACAGACGACAGACGGATGACAGACACCACACCACAACATGAGCTTACTTGGCCTCTAGGGCCAGGTGAGCTAATAATTACCTCTGTTACAGTAGTGGCAAATTTGTAGGGACTCAGGAGTAATACTTAGCCATGCCCCATAAGCATTTCGTCACAAAATATTTACCAGTCAAGAGATAACGAGAAGACATTGATATCTAAGCCATCATCTTGACCTTTGTTAACTTATGGTAATATGACTAAAATAATTAATCTATGCAGTTATCGGTAACTGTCACTGAATCACACACTAATGATTAATAGCCATGTAATATATATATATTACCTGAATATGATATGGGAAATTGGATCCCGTGTTATTTATCACAGAATTTATTTACACATTTTCTAACTCACTATACTTTTGGGACTTCTAGAACTTTTAAATGACCAACGTGCAGCAAATTGAATCATCCATAAACACGTTTATAATCAGTGACACAAGGCCTATTTTAGCTAATACGTTTGAAGTTGAACTTTCAGGTTTGTAGGTGTGATGTAACTATATAGACACTGTAACCGTGTGGTCCTGCCTGCGATATTTCCAGGTGGGAAATAAAGTTTGCAGATAATTTTTTTCTATCGATACCTGGAATGTTTAGTGCAAACCATATTCACAATGAAAAGAATAATTGTATTGGTATTTCCATGTCGGAATATCAATAACGTTATAGCATCAAAGAAAAAATATCTTCTGAAACAATTCTCCCACTGGGGGCCCCTTTTCCACCACGGGAGCCGGTGCTTATCTGAAACTCAGTCGTGCAGTTTGTTATCGTACTTACCCTCAAAATCCCCAGTGTCAGCAACTACAACAGTCAAACCTCTAAGTTGTTCTAAAGCTGTTAAAGCTTGGCGTTTAGTTTGGGGCTCAGACATTTTCGGTTAAAGATATAATCAAGTCTCCGCACGAAAATACGTCCTCCTTGTGAAGCTGCCGGAAGTTTGTTTTGGAAAGTACTTCGTGACGTCATGTGCGTGGGAGCAGTCCTTACTTGATAATTTCTCACTGAGGACTCTATAAAATTGACTAGCCTTTTCTTTATTGAAAAATACACAGGTACGGTCAGAGTTTACCTAACCAGTTGTTAGCTGCTTTTATATACATATATGACCGCCACATGTGAAAAATATGTCTTGTATGCCTTGTTTTACTCCTTTTTAAAAGACAGAATATAACTTAATTGAGATAAAACATAATTACTTTGTGAAGATGAACATATTGTTATGTAAACGTTTTAAACGGAATTAATTGACATAATTAGTATTCAACATGTGATTCAAGTTAAGGTCCTAAAGTTATTGGTATTCTCCGTGTTTTACTAAGTATGTATTTTTCAGTAAGTACTCTGTGATCAAGACAATGATTATTGACAATTAAGCACTCACTTGACTTTTAACTTAACAGATGAATTGAGGTCACAGTAGCCTAGTTCGATGGTCGAGTGGTGCATATGGTGGTAGCATTTCATTAAACATGTCCAGGATTCGATTCCCGTAAATGGTGTAAAAAGGTATACGCATATGGGGTCACATGCCAGATTACGTGGGTTTCTGGTAAAAAGTAAGTTTATACAGATAATGCATTACCCACTTGTGTAGTTGATGTAATAACGATAAAGATACGCATCAAATATCTGAATGTGTGTAATATTTTGCCTTTTGTAGGCTGTATGTTTCCGTGAAATTTTAAAAGTCATAACGGGTACCAGAATAATTTAGTTATGCGAATCAAACAAAAGGAATTCGGTTGTTGGAAATCAAAACTCATTGCTTTATTACCTGCACTATTTTACATTTGTTTATTGTTTGGTTGAGATCATTTTCACAACAGTTCATAGTAATAAACATTCTCTTTATCTCGGTCGATTAGCCTATCCAATGCCTCGACAAGAGATCGAACCCGGGATCTTTTACTGTTCATCAGGGCGCACACGACAACCCAGGTTCGCCGTAATGATTAGGATGTTTTCGGTCTGACTGAAATTAAACTTGGTTGTAAAACTTGTTCGCGTGGGAGTGCACGTATTCAAAATGATCTAGTCATTGACAATAACGTTGAAGATAAATATATCAGAGATCTAGAGAAAGCGTTATCTGGGCTTCTGTACGGATCTCTCTGCCGGAAAAAGGATCTCTCAATGGTCTAGTAGGAAGGTTGCAATGAGCGCCAAATCTAAACATGTGACAATAAATTATCCTGAGTTCGGAAAGAGATATTTGTTGAAAACCACGAGTTTTGGTTGCATATAGTTCAAAGTTAAAAGCAGAGAGAAAAGTCGACCTCCGCATTTAATAACAGATCGGATAAATATCGGATTAATCAGGGGAAATATGCTTACAGATAAAGAGCTAACACAACTTATCAAACTTGTCCATCATCGCACTTTCATGTATGTGTACATGTATCTACATATTAAAAAAAAACAAGCATCATAAACTAAACTAAACAAACCTATACCGAGATTTGCTCGTTTTTCTTAAATAAACGCTTACACAGAACTGTTCACAATTTCATACTTAAATATACTGGAAATATGATTATGGAAATGGAAGGAAACAGGTAGAGAGAGAGCGCGAGAGAGGGAGGGAGAGAGAGGGGTGGAGAGAGAGAAAGAGGGGGGGAGAGAAGAGAGAGAGAGATAGGGGAGGGAGGGAGAGAGAGGGATAGAAGATAGAGAAAGCGATAGGGAGGGAGGGGGAGAGAGAGGGGAGAGGGAGAGATTTATGATGATATGGATGTGTCACTTGGCAAGGCACTTCACCCTAATTGCTCTGAATTACATGCGATGGGCCTTCCGTATGTTGTTCATTGAGTTAGCCACCAGCTACGACAACATGAAGAGGGGCCCTGCCTCAAGACTCAAGATGACGCTAGTTTTTCACGGGGCGATAAACATCTAGGTTCAATTAATCATCGAGAGGATACTTACACACACAGAAACGGGAAGGGAAACAACTCTGTGTTGACCAGTTGTTTAAACATAGTCCAATACACACATTTTTATCAGATAACACTGAAGTTGACTGTTTTATTTTTAGATTGTGTAGGTATTGAGACACGAACCATTAAAGTTATTTTACACTGGAATGTGCAGTCATGCGGCATTGTCTGTAAATGGGTTAAGTAATACCGACTTTCTATTGAAAGTAACAAAATGAGAGCGAGGATTTCACTCCATATCTACATGTACTCGCTCAGTGATATTTAGGTCATTGATTCAGTATCCCGTTCATGATATATTACGATTATATAGATATACATTTCATATCATATTTCATGACCTGTTACTAGTAAAACCTGTTTCAATATATTTTTCTCTCTCATATATTATACAGAATAAGGTAAATATTTGTTACATTTACTACCGTACACAAGTTTTCATAACATCCGCCACCTGGTTGTGCTCATTAGACTTAAATCTAAATGAAACAAGCGCCTGTGCATGCCACTATCTAACTGGATTTAAAATCTACATGAAACAAACGCCTGTGCATGCCACTATCTAACAGGATTTTGGATGTACAGCCGCCGCACCAGTGAAACAATCCATCACAAGCAGCATACAGCAGACATACCTTCAAAGTCGCCAGTGTCTGCCACAATAGTGGTGAATCCCTTCATCTGGTCCAATACACTAGCCATTTTGGATATGACGACGCTGACAGCTGGTTTGTTTCTCAAAAATGTCAATTAGTCACCAAGATTTGCTTTCTCCGGCGTTTACTTAGGAATACTCTGCAGTCAATATTTCTGAACATGCGCAGACGATAAAGAACTACTACACAGCCTACAGGTCTCGAGTTAAAACGTTCAATTTGTTATGATGACCACGTATATAGTGATACATCTCCTTAAACACCGGGATATAAGTATCACTAATACACAAGGTGTTTAAAACTGTTCTCAGAGACCTCATCCATATCGTCCTGCTTTTCATATGGGTCATACTGTAACTTCATTTGTCATGAATAGTTAATTTTGTAACGAGTTTGTATTTGGTATATACATGATACAGAAGATTCATGACATCTTCTTGGTTCACAATTGATATATGACGTCCACTTAACACATTGCTGTCAAATAACGTCCATTTGGTACACTGCTGGCACACGGCATTCACTGGTACAATGCTGGCACACTTTTTGGCACACAGATGGTATACTCTTTTCACTTGGCACAATTATGGCATACGGCGTCCACTTATGACAACAGACGGTTCATGACCTCCACTTGGTTCACAACTAACAAATGACGTCCACTTGGCAACTAGTGGCATATTATATCAAACTGGCACACTGCTGACCTATGACTTCCACTTGCTACACAACAGGCATATGACGTCCACTTGGTTCACTGGTGGCATACGATTCCAGTTGGCACACTACTTACATAAGACGTCCACTTGGTTCACTGGTGGCATACGATTTCAGTTGGCACACTACTTACATAAGACGTCCACTTGCCACACAACAGGCATATGACGTCCACTTGGTTCACTGGTGGCATACGATTCCAGTTGGCACACTACTTACATAAGACGTCCACTTGCTACACAACAGGCATATGACGTCCACTTGGTTCACTGGTGGCATACTATTCCATTTGGCACACTACTTACAAAAGACGTCCACTTGCTACACAACAGGCATATGACGTCCACTTGGTTCACTGGTGGCATACGATTCCAGTTGGCACACTACTTACATAAGACGTCCACTTGGTTCACTGGTGGCATACGATTCCAGTTGGCACACTACTTACATAAGACGTCCACTTGGTACAAAAACCGGTAAATAACGTCCGCTCGACACACTGCTGGCATAAGACGCCCGCTTGATACATATCTGGCATAAGATGCCCATTTGGTATACAACTATCGTATGACGTCTACTTCGCACACAACTGATATATGACGTCCATATGGCACGCGACTGACATGTGAGGGTAATTTACTTGATATGAAACTGACATATGACTTTCACTCGGTACACAACTGTCACGTGACGCCCACTTACTACACAAATGATATGTGGCATCAACATGCCACTTACTTTCCGGTGGATTGTACAAGTTCGTTTGATCCTGATCAGTCTCATTGAAATTAAATAGTGACCCTCATGAAATACTTGCAAGTCAAAATTAGCGGCATCCATTATCTGTATACATTTTGTTATTTTCATTTTCACCAAGCATGTTTTAAACCGATGTCGGCTTGCTCGCGAATAAAAACTGCCATTCGCTTCGTAATGTAGAAGAAAGCTATTGTCTAGAAATCTCTGTTATATATGGCGGTAAAGCTGGGAAATGGTATAAGGGAGTATAAGGCGAGGTAGGTACCTGGCACGTGCATATTGCCGTACCACGTGTAGTACAGGCCATAAGGTGTACACGTGTAAAACAGTTAGCTATAGGATCATTCTAGCATTGAACAGCGACAGGAGCAGTCAGTTTTTAAGATATCTAATAATTTATGACATGCATTAAAATATATATAAATATATCCTGTATCGATTGCATATCTGTAATTAGCTGAAGTATCAAGACATATACATGTAATTTATCCTTGTTTTTTTAAACCCTGGGTTTTATTGTGCACCACTTAGCAATACAAGGGTAGCTGTAGACCCTGTATATTATATTGTGTAACATGAAAAATCACAAATCTAATAAAATGCCGCTTATGAATCCGACAGACTAAACGTGAGACCAGCAAGCTAACTGTGAGTCCAACAGGCTAAATGTGAGACCAGCAGACTAAACTTGAGTTCAGCAGGCTAAATGTGAGACCAGCAGACTAAACTGGAGTTCAGAAGGCTAAATGTGAGACCAGCAGACTAAACTTGAGTTCGGCAGGCTAAATGTGAATCCTGCGGGCTAAACGTCAATCCGGCAGGCTAAACGTGAGTTCAGCAGGCTAAACGTGAGACCAGCAGACTAAACT